ACTGGGCAGAGTTATAGATGTCCTTCAACAAATGCATGTTGGCTGATTTCGATTGTCCAATTTATCTGTGTAATTTGGACCCTCTAGGGTACTTGATAAGCTATTCATTTATGTAACCCTTTATAACATTCCAGGCACCATTCCAGGTGCTGAGAACAGAGTGGTTATCAAGAGAGAATACACAAAGAACAGAAATGGCTCTCCATCCCGGTTTTAAGAAGAATAAGAAGAGTTCACAGAGAGTTGCCCCGAGGCTGGGAATTCATTCAGGTACAATAAGGACATCTCATTTGGTTGCTCCCTAAGAAATAGGTGTCTGTTCCACTCAGATTTGAACACTACCCCTACTTTGGATCCATCATTTTGACTTCACAGACCCCCTCTTGTTCCTAACTTCTGCATACTCATGACTTCTACATATTGACTTCATTGAATACTGCTTCTGCTCTTCTGTGCATTTGCAAAGAAAATCCTCAGAGGATGTGATGAGCTCAATCAAGATGGTTGAACTTCTAATGCCTCCGTGCTCAGTCTAGGACCCTCTTATAGATTGCTGGCAAGCCTACATTGGCAACGCTTGGGCCAGGCATCTCCTTTGATCCAGCTGTAACCAAGGCTGCTGGATAAGATATATCATCTTAGGGCCACTCGTTAAGTTTTCCCTACAGCCTGAGAAATGAGACACTCTGCCAAAAGAAGACTATAATTTGAAGTTACCTCAGTTTACTTGATTGAGGGTAATCAGTAAATATCCAGCATCTAGAAAAGTGTTATTATAGTATGTGCACAATATGAATGAAATTAGTTCATTAAACTGCATCTGAAGTATTAGACGTATTTTCATCATAATGTTACACTTGACACTGTCTTGAGCCCAAATCAATTTTGTAGTTTTATTTGAAATGTTCCAACTTACATAAATTTAAACTCAAATATTCTGATATACTGTTACTTCTTTGCTATTGAATACCCTGGACTAATTTTATTATTATCCTTCTTCTATAAAATTGGTGATTTGATTCTAAAATTCACTTCTGATATTATATTCCATGCTTAGGTGATTTCTCCTATAATGAAAATTGTTATGACCTTATTGGTTGCCCATGAAAGAAAGCCTTTTCTAAGATTCTTTAACCTTGCATGCAATGTTTTGATCACCTCTATCAATTTTCCTATCATGTAACCATGACATTGTAAAAACTAACTGGGTGATAAGTATCATTTCAAACATAGGCAGACATTTTACTGTGCTTGTCTTGTATTTGGCTAAAAATGTGAATGTTGAAATAAGTGCACTAACATTATTTCTCAGTTCCATTGAATATTTGCTCTCACTGTAAACTCAGTGAATTCTCATTTACTTTACTGTCCTTCTTAGAAGTGTCATGTCGCCTCTGCTGTACTCTGCCCTACTCATTCCATTAAATTATTGCCTTTTTCCAACTTCTTGTTGACATTCTTAGTGAATGTTCACAAAATCATTTGCCTCACTAATCCACAACTTGACCCTTCAGTGGCTGCACTTCCTTTATTCTTGAGTAAACTATTTTGAAAACGTTTATTCTTATTTATTTCAGAAAGGGAAAGAGAGATAGAAACATCAATGATGAGAATCATTAATTGGCTGCCTCCTGTATGCCCCACACTGGGGATTGAGCCCATCACCTGGGCATGTGATCTGTGCAACTGGGAATCCAACTGTGACCTCCTGGCTCATAGGATGACATTCAACCATTGAGCCACACCAGCCGAGCCTGAATAAGAACAGTATCATGGACTCAAGGATTCAGAGAGCTGCCTATGTTTCTTTGGCACATATAAAAGTGTAATAATGCACTGGAAATACACTAGTACACAGACCTAACACACATTCTCAGCAGCTTGCATCATTCAAGAACATTTTGGTATTATCAGTGAACCAGACAAATTATATTAAAGCCTAGTTGAGCATAAACTCTATGCATCTTTATAGAGGGAAAAGGATCACAGTTGAGGAAATATTTGAAGGCCTTTAAACTATATGTATGAAAACGGACATGGTTTGGTTGGCCTTCTTGATTGGGGAGGAAACCTCAGATGTTTGCCAACACTTTCTACAACATTGCGAAAACACTTGGCAAAGTTCTGCTATTAACATGACATAGATTAAACTGTCACTGCTATTGACTACATCTGATGAGCACATATTTTTTGAAATCCTGAAACAAAGACAAGTCCTTTGCTACTTAAAGGTAATCTAAAACCTCAAAGGGGAATACTAGTAATCATGCCAATTTGTCATTTTCTTGTTTTTAGCACAGAATACAAAAAGTGATGGCAAAGAGGTTATTGTTCAGAACATCAGATTCTTAATATTTTTCAAAACAGGCAAGAAAATTAAGCTTTTTGAACGGCAGAAACTTAAATAGTGCATTGCATTAAAGAGAGGATAGGTTCTTGTTTTGTTAGGCGTGTCCCTGGGTAATGGCATTTAAGTTAAAAAGATGATAGAGGAGAGCACACAACACATACACACACAGTAGCTTCATTTCCAAAGAGGTATGGCTGAAGTCACTGGTTTTAATCCTCTAACTGTCTTGATGGCCAGATTTTCAAAATTTACTCACCAAGGCAGCTAGCACAAATGCCGCAGAAAGATTTTGAAGTTTGGCCATTGGCCACATTAGTATCAAAGGAGCCAATTCCTGACCCCTTTTTAGATTTCCATCCATTTTCTCCAGTTTGGTGCCTGGACTCCTATATGTTCCACTCCGACCTCTGAGGCTTTCCAGTGAATGATGGATAGTCCTTTCATTTAGGTCTGCTCAAGGCTAAAAAATGAGTCCATGATTTCAAAGTATACAATATTTTATGTACCCATTAGAAGTCCTAAATCATTAGCTAAATTGAAATAAAAAACTTGATTTCAAAGTGCAACTGGGAATCCAACTGATTTCTACTGATCAATAGGTTGCTGCTTAACGAACTTTTACTTTTTTAAATACAGATGCCCTTCTGATAGACTGAGATAGTATTCATACTTACCAGCCCTAAGAACTCAGAGACAGAACACTATTTTATATACCCAATAGAAATCCTAAATCATTAGCTAAATTGTAACATTAGTGGTCATGATCTTGAACTCCTGTTTAAGTTCTCTGAGGCCCTTCTCAGAATGTATACTGGGGGACAAAATATAAGGTTCCACAGCTATTTTTATTGGAAAAGGTTGAGAAAAGAAAAATGCTCTGTAGATATATAGTGATACCATCTGTATTTTTCACTGAATCTCAAGAAAAACTGTAAATACTAAACATGGCTTGGCCTGTGTTAACATTAACGATATTAATTTCTTTTCTAAGAGAACAGGCTATTGGATAGTTTGAGGCTACACAGGCCAGGTCTCAGCTTCCCAAGGATTTGACCCTAGTGTGAGACTCAAAGGCTTTCTTGCACTTTGACAATAAAAAGCATGTACGATTCATTAAGAATATAGACAAGGCTTTATGTTATATTTATTTATTTTCCAGCTTATACAAACTGGATGTAGAAGCATAAACATAGTACATTTCTACCATCTTCAACAAAAATATAACCAATATGTACAATTATTGTATTAAAAATACAAAAGGGATACAGACTCCACCAATGTCTTTCTAAAAGACATACAGGTACAAGTAGTATCAAAAGTATGAGGAAATCACCAGTTAATTGTACATTCTGCACGTGACATCACAGAGCGAACTGAGATTAGCAGTCCTATGTTCTACGCTTACTTAATGCTTAGATAACATTTGTGCAACTTGTGGTAGAGTTAGATTTCTGTCTTTCTATATGCACATGAGGTCCATAGCCTATATAATAAAACTGGCAAAGAATGCATATTACATGTAAAATTACAAATGCTTAAATTGACAATGTAATATATAAGCAAATAGACAATTGCCATGAGACAAGAGAATTATTAAATAAAGCACTGACATTGTTTGATACAGTGAAAAAACACTGCATTTTGACTCTTTTTAAAATTTGAAGCTATTTACGTTTCTCTACTGATCAATATGATCAGCTGAATTTAATGGAAAAAAAATCCAAGACCAGCAGTTCCTCACATTTGAGTACTACTCGGATTGGCAGCCTTCACTTTTCCGGAGTCTGTGCAAAAACAACACAAAAATAGAGTGGAGGGGTCATTTCAGTCATTATAGGGTTAATAGCAGCTGTGAGCAGGTGGTTGCTACACTTTAGGCCTTTTCTCTATCCATCGTGTGTCCATTAAGCCACTTCCAGGTTAGTCTTCGGGCAGCGACTAACCCCCCCGGGCGAAGGCTGGCATCTCCCACCAGGTTTGGGATCTTTTGATCTTTGATCACGGTCAAGGCTTGTTTAGTCCCTAATGCCAATTCAGTAAAGGGAGGCTGTCTTGAAAGAGCAGTACGAACAGCTGGCATTAGCTCCAACATCCCAAGCTGCTTTCACTGCAATGCTATCCAGTTATAAACATTTCTCTTGAAAACAAACAAACAAAAAAAATCCCTAAAACTAAATGAACAAAAATCAAAGAAACATAACTTAAAAAAAAAAAAAATGGGGAGGGGGGTTGCCATCCATGTCAGTGGAGCAGGACACACCCTCCAACGACCCTGTCCCGCACTCCATAAGGCTCAGACACAGGACACAAGAGTCCTAGTTCCCTCCCCGGGGCCATGTGCAAACAGTGTGACAGGAGAACCCCACCCACTGGGGAAGGAGTGGAGGGGTGTCTTGGTATCTGAGTGATTGGCTAACAGTTTATACTTCTCCGGGATAGGGCACTTCACCGGGGAGGCCTGGAGGACACGGGAAGACAGGGCCCCACGCCAGGTCTTCCCTTCTTCTTGCTGTGGCCACAGCCTGTCCGGCATATTTGGTTTTTTGTTTTTGAAGAAACCCAGGCTGGCAACCCTACTCAAAGGTTCAAAATAATACTGTAATTATTAAGTGGATATAACATTGACTCTGAACACAATCTTTAAATTCATTTAAAAAAAGAAAAAAGAAAAGAAAGAAAAAAGAAAAAGGAGGACATTGTAAACAAGTGGACAAGCACTGTCCTCAAAGGATTTCATTGTTTTTCTTTGTCTTCCTTGGTGGGTGAAAGGCCCCCGAGAAGTTCGATGGCTAGCTTTTCTCATTCTCCCAATGAGACCAGGTGCCAGGACTGGATTGACATCTAAAAGGAAGATTTGAAAACAATCGTTCCAGGCAATGAGAAGTGCAGCTGGGGCGCATCCTCGGGCGGTGACGATCTTGGAATGTGGAATGATACTGTGTGACGTGGCAGGCAGCAACAGTGGGGGACTTGAAGATTGCTGCGCTGTGCATTTCAAGCAACAAAGTCTGAAAAGTGCCAGGGCAATTTCTTCACAGTATTTCACATGCAAAGGGGAAAGGAAGAAGGGGAGAAGAAGCCCCATGCTGCTTTTAAGGCAGGGAAGGAGGCAAACTGGTCCACCATCCTCAGACTGTGAGTTCCAAGGCCCGGATGCTAGGGATGTCTTCTTGTGCTCTCCTTGCGGGTGGCTCACTCTGGATCCAGAAAAGCCTGTGCCTCAAACAGCAGATACTTGCTCATCTTCTGCAAACACAACCAGGAAAGAGAGAGAGAGAGTGATGAGCAAGTTAAGTCCTTCTGGTGCTGAGAGGACATGCTTGCTGATGTGCTTAAGAAAAATACCTCAGCTCGCCTTTTCAGTATACCTCACTTAAAATCCCTGCCCTTTTCTCTAGGTGATGATTGTTAATAATGAACACTTTAAAGTATACATGAAGCCTATTTAAACACACACACACGGTATAGACAAGGAGTCTATTTAATAATGAGTTCTTTGGCACAAGTTTTAAAACAGCATGTGGCTTTTTAAACAATACACACCTACATAAAGAAGTCTAGGAGGATATATAACAAAACATCAACAGTGGTTAGCTGCAAGTGACAGGATTCTAAGTAATTTCCATTGATCCTGTCTTGCTTTTTTTCTATAACGATTATTTGTACACCAAAACATGTTTAAACCAAAAGTTAAAAAAAAAAAAAAAGGAGATCGGGTAGGTGATCCCCCCCCTCCTTTTCAATATAGCTTGAGGAAGAAAGGCAAAAGAGTTATAGAGAATTATATTTTTCAGACTGTCATTTGGAACTCATTAAAAGTCCAAGAATAGTGGAGGCCAGTTTGGCTCATTAGATAGAGCACTGGCCTGCGGTAGGGGCATGTGCCTTGGTTGTGGGCACATCCCCAGTGGGGGGTATGCGGGAAGCAGCTTAACAATGTTTCTCTCTCATCAATGTTTCTCTCTATCTCTCTCCCTTTCTCGCTGTGAAAAAAATCAATAAAATAAAAAATAAAAATAAAAAAAGTCCAAGTATAATCTTTCCATAGAACACTGAGAATTAGGAGAAAACCTCAGCCACATACACCCTTTATTCAATTGGCCACTTATGCAATCTTTGGTATTTCTTGAACCCTTTAGAAAACAACACACACACACACACACACACACACACACAGTAGTCAAAAGCTTAACCCTACATTTGGAACTCTTCACTCTAAAACGTGCAGACTATGGCTGAAGACACAAGTGATCACAGTGTTAAGAAAGCACAAAAACGCCTTGGCAAGCTTACGGGCAACACAAGCGAACACATCTGACTTTACGGTTTTAAGAATGAGTATGTACCGTCCTCCTCGGTAGAAAACCCTTGAGACTGATAGGGGGCGAGGCGCGGGTCGCACTCGTTGGGCTTATGCCACTGGGGCTTGTTCACGGGCCGGCCGGCCCCGGCCCCGGGGTGCGCCTGTGGCTGCGGGGCGGGGGCCGGCCCAGCCGCCTCAGAGGGGCGGGCGACCATCCGGGACCTCTGCAGCGCCACGTTGTAGTCTGGAGGTTTCCTGGTCGGATGGGAAGGCCCTTCTGGGAAGTCGGTGATGGGGATCCCGATGTAGCCTGGAGGAGTGGGCGGCGGCTCCCGGTACCTGCCCTCCTTCCGAGCTGCAGTGAAAACAAGGCACCAGCTGTTAAGAAGTGTTGTGGAAGAATACTTCAGGCACCCATGTCCACAAACACCGATCAAGTAATTATTAAGAGCACACACAGCCGAAACCAGTTTGGCTCAGTGGATAGAGCATCGGTCTGAGGACTAAAAGGTCCCAGGTTCGATTCCGGTCAAGGGTATGTACCTTGATTGCGGGCACATCCCCGGTAGGGGGTGTGCAGGAGGCAGCTGGTCGATGTGTCTCTCCCATCAAAGTTTCTAGCTCTCTATCCCTCTTCCTTCCTCTCTATGAAAAATCAATAAAATATATTTTTTTAAAAAAACAAACTACCCAAGAATTTAATTAAAAAATTAAAAAAAGCACACACAGTGTAATAGCAAATGTGATTCTGTGTGATATTAGATATAGAGGTGGGGGACATGGGAGGCAGGGGAATGGATGTTGACTAAACCAAATATTCACAATGGTTATCTCTGTGTGCCCAAATAATGGGCGAGAGAAGCTACTAGTCAGGTTCAGATCCTTTAATTTTAAATGAACTACTTCAAAACTTGTCTAAACTATCCAAGAATAATAAGGTTAACACATAACACTTGGTTTACTGTAGAGATGAAGCAAGGAGAGGACATAATAGGTATCAGTACTATGCCTGCAACATGTTGGCATACCGTGCCTGGAGCAAGTTCCTTCCTCTCTCCCTGACCCTGGGACAGGCAGGCAAACCTTCTCTGCCGGGCACTTTCCTCATCAGGCAGAGCATCAATTCCCCATACTTCAGGTCTTGGGCCCACTTTGAAAGACAGTGAATTTAAATACTTTTCTAACCAGTCCCATCATGCTTATTTTACACTAGTTCAAGAAAATAATAGTTGGTCAGCAGTGGCAGCCAGGAGCTATGGGCCCTTGGAAGCATTTCTCAAAGCAAATCACAGGGGTGGTGGGCAGCTACGCCATCTACCTGTTGAACCAGGGCCACTGCTCTCGACAACTGTCAGATCAGCTTCTTCGAAATGCTAATGATCAATTAAAAAAAAAAAAAGTTCTTTGTTTAAAAAAAAAAAATTGGGAAAGTGGTACCAAAAATGATGCAAATTTAAAAAATGCTAAAACTATGTATAAAGTATGTATTCCTCTTAAAATCCTGTTATTAGTATTATTAATGTCCATAACTTAGAACAAGAAATCTGTAAAGGCAAGTAAAATCAAAGTTTCATTTTTCATTTAAATTTATTTCTTTATTTTTAGTGATTTCAAAGAGGAACAAAAAGGGAGAGAGAGATAGAAGCATCAATGATGAGAGAGAATCATTGATCAGCTGCCTCTTGCATGCCACTCACGGGGGATCGAGTCAGCACCTTCGCCAAGTACCCTAACTAGGAATCCATAGGTCAATGCTCAGCCACTCAGCAACACCAGCCAAAGTTTTATTGAACTTTCTAGACTCAACTGTTAGGAACTACACAGCCTTCTTTCCTTTGCATCAGCAAGTCAGAGTATTAGTTTATTAAAAGAAAGTGCTTTAAAATTTGCAACCTAAGAATAGGTATTAATAGGTATCTGGAAAGCATATTAAGTTCGACAAGTACTCAAGACTATTTACATGATAAATAATTACAATTTTCCAACTAATAAAAATTATGTCTATAATGACTACACTCCAGGGTTTCTCACTTTATATTCTTTTTTTAAAAAAAACATGTTTTTATTGACTTCAGAGAGAGGGAAGGAGAGGGAGGTAGAAACATCAATGACAGAGAAACATCAATCGGCTGCCTCTGCACACCACCTCTACACAGGCGATGAAGCCCGAATCCCAGGCATGTGCCCTGACTAGGAATCGAACTGGCAACCTACTGGTGCATAGGCCAATGCACAACCACTAAGAAGCAATGACAGGACTCTCATTCTATATTCTATAATGTGTTTTTACACTTCAATTACTATCTGGGAGCTGTTCTAAGTGCTTCACAGAGAATTCCTTTAATCCTCACACCAACTATGTTAGTAGAAATTACTAAACTCATTTTACAGATGAGGAAACAGACAGAGTCCAGTGCGTCGCCCAATGCCACAAAGCTAGAAAAGGAGCAAAACAGTGATTCCAACCCCAATCCGCCTGACTCTTAAGCTCTTCCTCATCACGTTCTCTTAGCACCCTTTCCTTGGTCCCATAAAGCCCAGGGAGAATTTGTTTAGCACAGAAACCATCTGTCTGCATAACAAAATCAATAGAAGATTTTTAATTATGCAAAGTATAAAATTCTAATTACAATTCAAGGGAACAACATATTTAAAAGCTTTAATTAAATAAAAATTCTTCCTCTACAGAGAATGGCCACCCCTCTTGATAACTTTCAGATAAAAAGATCAACATGAGACCAGAATATAACCATACGATAACCTACAGATTTTGATAGCCAAGGACTGAATGTAGACTGTGCTAGAAAATACAGATATGTATCTGACCACAGGACCCACACTCTTAACCACTATTCATTTCAAACCCTAGACAGCAATGAGGAAAATAAGGAAAAGAACCACAAACCCGGATTTTACTTTTGAAATAAGTCAGATTAAAGCCACGATCCAGACCGGACAAGCTCCCCAATAAGCTTACCAATAAGTCCCTTGGCAGCAGTGGGGGTCACAGCTATGTGGGCAGGCATGGGGACAGGCTTGGTTTCCTCTGTGGTCACGGGGGGCAGGCTGCTGCTCTCCGCTTCAATGGAGACGTCTTTGCCACCCCGCCGCTTTATGGTGCCGGTGTCCCCTTCTGAGTCCTCTCCCCAGTAGCCCGTGGAAGAGGCCCAGCTCGCCCGGGATTGGGCTTGTTCAAGGCTCTCTCTACTCTGATTCTGCCGGTTATACTTTGTGCTATGATCAGAAAACATCATTTGGTCCATATGGCTGCTTGAAGCCCAGATACTTGCAGGATCCCCTGAATAATCGAAGTGAGGGTGCCCGAATGGAAGCGTTTCCCAGCTTCTCTGGTGCTGGATGGTCTGGATGTTGTCATGGGAACCACTTGAGCATGAGGTCCAGCTCCCGCGGCCACTGTCGGCAGCATCGAGTGAAGCGCGATCCCCCTGGTCTTGGGAGAGCTCCTCGGTGCTCGGGGAAGAAATTACTGTGGCTGCAGCATAGAAGCCCCGGCTCTCAGACATGGGTGCGTAGGACCTGAGTGGTCAAAAGACACGAGAAAGCAAAAGCGAGACTGTTAACTGACACATCTCTGATAAGACCAAAATACCTTTTCCTAGAAAGGGGCTTTCTTTCATCCCAGGGAGAAGATGGAAGCACCACGGAATTGCTATGCACTACAACGGGGCCCTTTCTGCCATGCCCAATTTTCTCCCCTTGTCATCACCGTCAAACAAATACAGCGGGAAAGAGCAAGTGCTTGCTTATAATAAAGGAACACATTCCTTAAAAGGCCCAATATAATCTGATTATTTCAAGAGGAAAGCTCATACAAAAGAACTGAGATATACGTCAGAACGTCACCCTCTGCCTTCGGCACAGAACCACTATGTTCCAAAAAGAATAAAGCTAACTCTGAAAAGCACAACGGAAATAACGTGGTACTTACTAATCTAGATACTGTGAAAATTAGTAACTGGGATGGAAGAAAAGTTCGTAGGCATTATGCAAAACAAAGGGAACTACACATCTAGAAAAAGGACTTGTTGTGAAACGATGATGAAAGACAGGATGTAAAAGAACGCTCAAGAAAAGGTGTCTACCCTAAGCTGTATTGATCGGGCTCAAGCAGGGTCCTCCTCTCCATCCTGCCCACGCCTAGGTTTGTCTCCACGATGCTGACAGAATGCCTCTGGCGCCTCTCATCATGCAGCGAGACGGGCACCGAGTCAAAGGAAGAATTGCTGACAATACTGGATCGTGAAGAAATCTCACTGTGACCAGAATCTGAAAAGTTATCCACAGTACCACTGGGAGCCAGAGGATAGCCTGCATGGGAAATACAACCACATTAATTAGACGCTATAGGTTTACAACATAAATCTGAAGTCTTCCAAAGAGAAGCAAATACCAAGTGCAGGCCAAAGCTATCACCACTGGAGTGGGGAAAAATGCATTTTACTTGGAGAACAGGTGACTAAGACAAAGTCAATTTACACTCACGTGAAGCTTGACTTGCTTACCAAAGTTTAGAGAGGAAAAAAGAAAATACTGCTATATGAGCCAGGAAATAATGGAGAAATCATGGTGCTGGTCAACTATTTGTAGTCAATATAAAAGACCATGAAAAATAACCATGATCAGATTTTAAAGTATATTTTTTGCAAACTCCAAAGTCAGTAATCTTATTTCAAAATTTTAGAACTTTATGGCATAAAATAATTCAACAGGAAATATTTATAATTTTAAGCTGGTAAATAAGAAAAAGCAATAAAACCTGGAAAAAAAAATCTTTGTGTTTCTGTCATTTTTTTTTTTTTAAGATTAACAATATATTGGACAAATCGCATAAAAGCCAGTAGTTTTAGAAGATGTAATGTATAAATCTCCATTTTCTCCCTAGACCATCATTGTGAAATGTCTAAAACAGATGTCTGTTTTTTTGAGCTGAAGAACCCTTAACTTCCCTTTGTTGCTAAAAATAATTTTGAAAGTAACAAAAAATATCTTGGTATTTTTAATAAAAAACAAACCCAGCCGAAACCAGTTTGGCTCAATGGATAGAGCGTTGGCTTGGGGACTGAAGGACCCGGGTTCGATTCCGGTCAAGGGCATGTACCTTGGTTATGGGCATATCCCCAGTGGGGGGTGTGCAAGAGGCAGCTAATCGATGACTCTCTCTCTCATCGATGTTTCTAATTCTCTATCTCTCTCCCTTCCTCTCTGTACAAAACCAATAAAATATATTTAAAAAAAACAAAAAAACAAACCCAAACTTTCTTTCTCAGTACTCCTTTCTTTTACATCACTAAGTACCTCATATTATTTATGAGATCCTTAATATTAACTTTATTTAATATTGACTTTACATGATTATATGTATGCAATGCCATTTATCAATGCCACTTACCTGATAAAAAGGTTAAATCTAGGATACCTCAATGTTGCTCATTTATTCTCTAAATAGTACTTCCCCATCCTTTGAGTAACTTGTTAATTCCTGATTTATTTTTTAAAGGTTGCACAGGTCTTGATAAGATTTAATGTGTTCATCTAGGAAATGTCTTTTTATAAACCACACTAAAGTGCTGACAGACAAGGTATAAAACCACCCCTAAACAGTCTTCTTAAAAAGATAAATAAAATATATATTTTTTAAATCTCTAAAAAATAATCCCTCAAATGGAGGGCTTGACATTTAGAGGAATGCTCCCACTTTCATTTACTGAGATGATTCCTCTTTCCCGCCCGACTTTGGTTCTATAAACCCCACCTATCCCATAGGTCCGTGGTGCATTGTTATTCTTGTTACTGTTCTCACTTCCAAGAGAAGAGGAGGAACTGGTTAAGTCCAACTGCCCGGAGCCAAAAGATCTCAGCTGATTGCCACTGCCACCTGACAACAGGACGGAAAAAAAATTTCAGATAGATCCATTTAACAAGAACAGCAGAGGCTGATGCCCACAGAAAATGCACAGATGTCTGAAATATCTATAAAGTAAAGCAGAAGAGGTATTTGTCAATTCAGTGAAATCTCACAATTTATTAATCTTCTTGGTCTCCTTCTAGGGAAAACTCTCTTAGCCATTTACTACTAGTTTATATCCATTCAATGGAAGGGTAGATAGTTGCTAAAAATAAAGCCTCTTTTGCAACCCAGAACTCATTGTTCAGTATGAGTTTTGATAGATATGAGAAGGGGGAGGAAGGGGGGCCAGAGAAAAAGGAGAGAGAAGTAACCTGGGTTTTGTGGCAGATCTATTATTCTAATATAAGAAAGCATCAACTTAAGAAGAGATTGACTGCCTAAAAGCTAATCTTTTTAAAAATAAAAAGAGGTAGCAACGAAGAAGGTAATCAAGACCCGTGTTAATACAATGAAAAAATAAATCAGGAAGGTATTAGTTTTTCTTATGTTTTTAAAGCTTTCTACTCTGTAATTGTTATATAACCATATTTAAGTTAGAACAACTTTTAGTATAAAAAGAATTATTTCCACAATCACAATCCATAACAATTTATTTTTTTGAAGGCTTTATATAGTTACTAATATAAGTTTAACACTACTTACTATAAGAGTAAACATACCAAAAAGTCTTCCAAATTTATAAACTGAGAAGAAAAAACCCATTGGTTGGTATATAGTAGATCATTTTAGATGACTCTACAATGTAAAAATGACCTAATATATAACTCTGAAATCTATCAGAACTGAAATGTATAGATTGTTATAAAGGGAAATAAGAAGTAATTTAATCTACCTTTCCTTGGAGAACTTTGTGGAGAAGTGGGAGGAGAAGAAAGCTGTGAAGATGCATTTGATATCGTATCTTCTGCTTGTTTCTTGTGTCGTTCCAGACTTCCTTCTTCAGACAAAGAAAGAATTTTCTTTAAAGCTTGTGGAGAGTTTATGCCTTTAGGAGAAAAAACAAACAAATATGTATTTTTCAAGACTAAAAAGAAATAACATTAATAACTAAAAAACTTTTTTTTGTGTTAAGATTTAAAATTACATTTAGATTCAAGCTATTCACAATTTCACTGGTCTTTGTACTCTTCACAATATAGACAGCAAGCTTAGAGAAGGCATAAGATAGTTTGGTTTCCGATTGACATCTGCCAGAGTCTAGAGATGGACTCTTTTTGGGTCTAAATCTTAATGCAATCACCATCTTTATTTAACAATATGTTAGACAATAGAAAAATAATATTTAATACTAAGAAGTCAGGTGGGGGTTAGAATCAGGTATTTTGATGTTACTGGTTGTGTTAAAGCTCAGGTGAAGTGGAACGATGGGAGACAAGTCAAGAATCAAGAGCTAAAAGGAAGCAGTAAGAAAAGCAAATAAAAGAGCTCTAAGGAATTCCATTCAGTTAGTATTTGCTCAAATAAATAGATGAAAGAGAATGGAGGAGCCGATACAAGAAAGTAGGTAAAAGACAACAGTGGAAGGTTGACAGACAGTCAGAAGGGAGTGATCTAGTGTCAAGTGTGAACAAGAAAAATGAGGGTTGGTGGGGGGAAAAGGGTAATATATGCCACTATACGATTTAAAGGAAAAAATTTAGAAATAGAGTCACATTAAAATGTTTTACAAAGTAAATATTATGAGGCATTTTCAATGACCTTACTTTGAACAACAAAAAGGTATTTGGGAAAGCATTATATAATGAAACTATCTCAGTAAAATGCTAGTTTTAATGTTCTTAACAGAATTCATTAAAAAGCAATGAAATTTAACAAAGATCGAATCCTTCATTTTAACTTATGTGTTTGATATTATTTTAACACAATCTTTTAAAAAATCACTTTGAAAGCAAGATTTTTAAAAAATGTATATTTTTATTAATTTTTATTGAAGGGAGAGGGAGATAGGTATATAAATGATGCAAGAGACTCATGAATAGCAGCCTCCTGCATGCCCCACCCTGGGTATCAAGCCTGCAATCCGGGCATGTGCATTGACCAGGAACTGAACCGTGACCTTTTGGTACCTGGGTCGATACTCAAGTGTTGAGCCATACAGGCTGGGTGCTATCCTTTTTTTTGGAGAAAAAAAAATTCCTTTTATTAACATTGTTTTCTTTCATTCATATATTTATTCATAAAATAATTTGGCAAATGGAGATATTTTTGAGCTTGCTGAGTAAACACCAGGAGCAAAGGTCACCCTCCTGAGTGAAAAGGCGATACTCTACAATCAGTACCTTCCACTGACTCAACGTTTAACTTATTAAACATCAATGCTATATAAGAGATAATAATCAGGGGGAGACTTAAGAGTATTAGACAAGGAATTCCATTCAGACAAAGTTATCCAAGACAAGCATTTCCCCCCTCATCTGAAAAACAGGACAGTGAGAGGCACCGCAAGGGGACGTGAGTTTATCACCTACCGAAGGGTGGGAGGTCCTTGACGGGCACTTTCTTTCGGGAAGGATAAAGGGACACGGCGGGGACCTGCAGTCCTTGGTTGACTTTATGTGGCGGCTGTGGCTGCTGGGGCTGCGGCTGTGCTTTCTGCTGTGACCCTGCCCGCGGAGCCACTGGGGAGGTCTCAGTTTTGACAGGCTTCTTGTCACCAGGATTCTTAGGCACTGATGATTGTTTGGTTTGAAAATAGAACAAGAAATTTAAGAAGTTAACAGCTACCTACAAGATAATTTTAGAACCGCATGAGCATTTCCTGCAGGAAGAATACTAAAACGTGTATCTTTTTTTTCCTGTTGCCTACACAAAGGACAGGAAGAGGGTAGAGGAAGAACCCTAGTTATAGAAAGTATTAAAGGCATGACAGGGCAAAGGTGATTATTACCTTAAGAAACTAGCTATCACAAAGGTGATTATACCAATAAAGATAAGATTAAAAATAAAAATAGAAAAATATGGATAGTTTAACACATCATGTGTTATATGAAATAACATCAGTATATCATAGAAACTATGACAGGAAAATTGTTAGAAATTATTTTTATAAAATGGTGTCTGAAAGCATCTGGCATCTATGAGCTTAGTTTTTACTTAATAAATGTATCTTTTTACTATCAAGTTCTTTCTTCTAAGGAGTAATGTCAACTAATAGCAGCCGATACTGCTTGAGTGTTATACTAAGTGTATAATCCCATAGCAAATAGAAAGCAAATCAATTTATTAAGGCAATTAAATGCTGTATATATCATATGTTAATATTAAAACCAACTCAATCACATATGCATATTTCCTGCAATGTAGACATAAGGGAGCTAAGGACTAGGGAGCTCAAATAGCTTGCCTAAGGTGACCTTGCTGGGCCAAGGAACAGACAGGACATGAACTCAGACCCATCTGACCTCAGAGGACAAGCACTTCATCATGATGCACAAAGCTTCTATAATGTTAGGGGTAAAGCTAATAACTTGAGTTTTCTCAATATAAATATAACATTTATATTCTACAGAACATTTATATTCTTTCAAACTTGCCCATACAAGACCCAGCCATGTCCTAAATAGAAAATGCTTCTGTCTCACAGATTCAGATGCAAATAAAGAGAAAAGTGTCCCCCGTTTCTAGCCTGGCCAGGTTTTTAACAGCTGGGACGCCTCACATTAGTCTGAGTTGTGCTTCACTGTGCAGCACAATTAGCAGAATTATTGCTTTCCGTGGTAGTAATGCCCAGTTCTGTCTGGGCTGAGGGGACAAAGGGCAGCCAGCATACCTAGTTGGGCCCTGCTGGGACTTGGTGTACCCCTCACCCCTCACAGGTTGTCCTTCACTTTGGAGGTATCTATGTGAGAATGTAAGGAATGCAAACGAGAGACACATCACACACGTGGCCCCCGCCTGCACACTGGCTGTGTTGGGATGAAACCAACACAACAGGCACCCTAACTAAGTCTCCAGTCATCCTCCCCACACTAACCCAGTTGACACGAGGCCTAACCTAGGGCAGTGCTGTATGGTACTCAGAGTAGCATGTAAGGCATCCAGGGTGCTACTTACCCCATTGCACTAAGCCCTACTCTATCAACGCCTGTGCGATGGCACCGGAAACACGCCTGCACCCCCCTCCCCCCCCCCCCAGATCCCACAGCCACCTGGAGGGAACACTCACATGTGTTGGTTGCTGGCTCACACTGCAGAGATAACGTCTGAAGACTCTCCTCATCCATTTCTAGCTCCAAATTGGACAGGTACTGCTTCACTTTCCGAGCCATCTGGGCATCTTCGTAAAGCTTTTTGGCATTGAGAAAGGAACTACGACGTACCCGCTTTTTATGCCCACCTGTCTGAGCAACGTCTAGCACCGTTGCGTTTGTACTACCCTGGCTGAGGGACCTGGAAGATGAAAAGGCAGATATGCAGCTCACTCTAGTATGAGATTGCTTTATCTCTTTGAGATGTGCCAAGATTTAGAAAAATACTCTATGTTCAAAAGGTCACATGCTTTATTCTGGTAAGTAAGCTGTTACAAAGGAATTTAGAATAATAGGAATTACATTTTTAAAGTTAAAAAAGAATCCCGCACACATACATATATATATGGTTTGGTGTCTGTTCTGTGCCAACGAGGGAATTCTACTTTTTATTCAAGGCAGTCCTCTCACAGAAGCCAGCATATAGTAATAATATAATTATATGTAAAAGCTCATGCAAGAACACAGCTATAATGGGGATTTACATTACATTTATTTCTCCTAAAAAGGATTTTTTTTTTTTAAATTAGCTAAATGTTTCCAATTATTTTCTCATTCCTTGGGTTAAATGTAGCGAGTTTCTATGATCAAATTGTTAATAAAATGGTCATGCAAATGTAAACATATGTTCAGAAACTAGTACATGAATTGTTAAGAATTATTTTTCAAAAGAGTTGGCTTATAGAATGAAAACAGTAGTTAGTTGAGCTGAGTAAAAAATTTAGTTTTAACACCTAGGGGCAGTGTTTATATTACATATATTTACTTCTCAAATATCTGTGCAATGGAATTAAAATTGCACAATTTTCCCATCTCACATTTTCCTTCCCCCCCCTTCCCACTTTAGGCTTTTCCTATTCCAAAACACAGAAATTATATTAATGTAAACTCTTTCTGAAAGCTTCCAAGTATGTCTGACCTACAGTCCCCGGAACAATCATCAATCATTTCACAGCTCTCATGGATCATGACCTCAGAAGCAAAAGCCCCAACAGATTAAACTGGAAATCAGTTTGCCAACTGAAATGCTGCTAGAGCAAGAGGGTTAAGAAAAAAAATGCAAAAATGCGAAGCATCAGGAAGTACAGCAGGTAAGAAAACAATGCAATGAGCAGAATAAGAACTGGGTGTGGGTATGCAAGTCTCCACCACTTACCCCAGACTCCTCCATTTCTTCTTCCTGTAAGTGAGAGCCATGGAGATTGAAGCATGGGTGTCGAAGGAGAGACAGAAAGATCACAAGCTCAGAAAGAAAGGACTAGACTTCTGAATAAGCAGTATAAGAAGCCCACAAACATTAAACTGCATAATCACCTCACACACACAACTTGACCAGAAATATTTATGTGGCTCAAAAGAGACATGTATTTCAATTTTTTTGTTTCAAAAGGAGAATGACTCCTGTTCTCTCTTTCATGGGATTAATCATTTTACACTATGCTGACAGCTAAATCCACCGTGTGCATATTGAAATGATGCTGCTTGGGTTATTTACATATTTTAGTTCATACCACCAATCATGAGATTTATCTCTACAAGTGATTGTTCCGAAAAACAAGGAACAAATAATTGTGCCTCTTGTTAGATGAAAAATGTTTGAAGGACAAACTGTTTATACCGTTGATACAGAATAAGGTATTTATTCCACATCAGAGCTCAGTGGAGATTCTTTGCATGACCTAAGAGAATTTCCGCCAAGCTACAAAGATAAATAATTCAAATTTCCCTCATTTATTAGCTAAACTCAACCTCCTCTAATCCCACACGTGACGCTGAAGTTGACATACTCACCGAGTCCTGAACATGAGGGCAGGGTCCATGTTAACCGAAGCCATTCGGCCAACATGACGAATTTCCTTTGCAATCATCCTTAGTTTCTCAAAATTAACCAGTCCATCAACTTTTGAGTCATTTCCTACAATTGGCAAAGGAGAAAAAGGAAATCACTGGCATTTATTCTCTTTTTTTAAAAAAATCTATTTCCTAAATTTTATTTTTCAATTACAGTTGACATTCGATATTATTTTATTAATCGTTTCAGGTATACCGCATAGTGGTTAGATGATTATAGATTTATAAAGTGATCCTACCAAGAAACTTTAGTGCCCACTTGGCACCATAGACATAAAGTACAATATTATTGACTACAATCCCTAGGCTGTACTTTACATCCCCTTGACTATTTTCTAGTCACCGGTTTATACTTCTTAATCCCTGATGTTTATTCTATGCTTCCGCAAGTGAAGGAAGAAATTCTTTACTTTGCATTTACCTTCATGAAGAAATGTGAGATCCTTCTTGATAACTGGGAATAGAGGGATTATGGGAGGTTGTAGGTTTTGACTATTGAGGACATTGCGATATTTGGCCATGTTTCTGGAAGGATCGAATAGGTCTTGAAGATCCTGAAATAGCTTTTCATACTTATTGGGAAGTTTTTCCCAGGTGGTTCGCAGTCTTGCTACTGGTGCCAGGTTTAGGCCACTAAGAGGGGAAAAAAGGAAAAGTGGTAGAAAATTAAATGACTCATCCTTATGAAGTGAAGTGAAACAGTGTATTGTTGATTATCATATAGCACCTGTGTGTGTATCCTAATTATACATAACAATTTACAGAAAAATTCCTAAGAAACCATTACTAACTCCAGGTGATGAGAATGGAAGATGGAAGCAGGATTAGCATCGGGATTTTGTTTCGCTCTTCTTCCCTTTGTACCCTCTTGATCCGTTTACTATGAGCAAAACCACTAAAATGCAAGTACCATGAGGACAGAATTTTGTTTCCTTGTTTATCTCTATACATAGAGCAGTGCTTGGCCAAACATCTTAACAGTAATGAAGTAAAACAAAAGCCATAATAATAATGAGAATATGGTCAAACTCCTAGACAGAGAAAATGACTAATAATCACCATCAATATCAATATAAACTGTTTCAGCTTATGGTTTCCTCCAGCCTCAACCTAAGCAATCAAAAGGGAAAAATAATGCACATTTCCTGGGCATCTTCATTGTGCTGGCTGGTGGAATTCCACATATATATATGACAGCAGTCCACCCCTTACCCTCTGCTTTGCTTTCCATGGTTTCAGTTACCTGTGGCTAACTACAGTACAAAAATACTCAATGAAACAATCCCAGAAATAAGTACATTTTAAGTTGCACCCTATTCTGGGCAGCAAAATAATATCTGATGAATTCTGGCTCTGTCTCTTTGGAATGTGAATCAGCCCTTTGTCCAGCCTGCCATGCTGTACATGCCCTTTGCCCGTTGATCACTTAGCAGCCCTCTGGGTTATCAGACCAACTGTTGCAGCATCGAATGCTTGTGTTAGGTAACCCTTATTTCACTTATTAATGTCCTCATGGCTATTCACATAATTTTTATTATAGGATCTATATACATAAAAGCCAAGGGACCACAACGCCAAAACCACTGGAACGACTAGAACAACCAGTCACTATGATGTACACTGTGGTAGGCCAACTGGCATGATCGTGTGTGTGTGTGTGTGTGTGGGGGGGGGAGTGGTGGCCCCTGAAACCCCGATTGGAGGCAGTCCCTGCCCCCCGCCAGACTTATCCAAACAGCTCCCATCAGGGCAGGCCAGCCAGACCCCACGTCTGCACGATTCATGCACCAGGCCTCTAGCACTGCTATAATTCTATTCTATTATTAGTTATTGCTGTTAACTTCTTACTTTGTTCTATTCTATTATTAGTTATTGCTGTTAACTTCTTACTTTGCCTAATTTATAAATTAAACTTTATCATCGGTATGTAGGTACAGGAGAAAACTTATGTAGGGTTTAGTATAATAGTAGCTATGGTTTCAGGTATCTACTGGGGGTCTTGGAACGTATTCGCCATGGATAAGGGGGACTACTGTATATCATTTAATCTGCTCCTTACTCTTTAGCAAACTGTTATTTTACAGAGAAATAAACTGATGTTCAGATAAGTTCAAGTAATTTTCCCAAGGTTACAGAGATTAAAAAAAAAGTAGATATAAATATTCTGGCTCCAAATCAGCATATAGAACATTTTTAAAATTAAAGATCAGGATCTGGATTCCAAGAAAAAGAATTGTTCAGTATAATTCAATTAAAATGACTACACTTAGACAAATTATATAGTGTTCCTGGTTTGATACATATTTCTAACCTGCAAAGTGAATTGAATCTTAAGACAAATATGTTCTCTTACCTGATGATTGCAAACATTGAGTTAAAATTCTTGCATTCCCTACAGTGCAGTGCTATCTTGATGAAATGCTTAATGATCTTCATCCTCTTCAGCTGGTTTGTCTCTCTCAGAATTTCAGACGCTACCCAAAATGTTTCCTGGTTAATGACTTCTTCAAATTTCTTCAGGTTGGCACAGCTGGTTTTTGATTTCAGTTTAAATAAATCATCTATGTATTCAGTAGGTTCAATGTTGCGGAAGAGTTCAAAATTTCGCATGGAGAGTTGTGTGGCAACTTCCACAGTACTGAGCTGCAGTAGGGAAATCTGACTCTCTCTCAACAACTCCTGAGCATCTTCATCTGAACAAAGGGTTTCTGTTTCCATGTTGTTTTTCAAGTAATATCTATAAAAAAAAAAAAAAAAAAAACCACATAGAATTCAAAGCCTAAGCAACAGTCTCATGACATTCCTTAAAAGAACATTGCTATTTTTTATAGGACATTTGAAAGAACACCGAATCGAATGATGGAAGAATTATTTGACTATAAGAATGTAGCTGGTGCCCTGGCAGATGGCTCAGTTGTTTGGAGTGTCGTCCTGTACACCAAAAGGTTGTGGGTTCGTTAGCAGCCTGGGCGCATACAGTAGGCAACCAATTGAGGTTTCTCTCACATCAATGTTTCTCTCTCTCTCTCTGAAAAATCAATAAAAATATATCCTTGGTGAAGACAAAAAAAAAAAAAAGAATGTAGTTGCTGCCTCAGTCACCAGATCGTAGAACCACCTATCCAGAAGTCATTGATGAAAATTAACAAATCACATGGGGACTTTCATGTGCACCCGCTGTAATTCCTTTTACTCTTGTCCTTCCTTGATTTCTATATTATTTTACTTTTTTTTTTGTTTAAAATGACAGAAAATAATTAAACTAAAATTTTCAGTTTAAATAAAGAAATAGGCTCTAAGGAAGAAGCAGGAAGATCAGACACAGGTCATGGTTTTACTTTCCCAGAAAGAATCTGTGGCTATTGATAGGTTCATAATGAATCAATCCCAGTTTATTCAAATGCCAAAAAAACCCTATACGAAATTTCCCCCCTTTTTGATCCAACAAGTAGAACAAAACTAAAACAAGATTTTAACTGTTAAATATTGGATTTTTACAAAAACCCTACCAGTAAGTAGGGTAGACATTACTCCTATTTTTCATATGAGGAAACAGAGGTGACCAAAGATTAATAACTAATTAATACTGGTTGCAGAGACAGGAATTCAGAGATAGTGCTCCTTTTGCAAGTTGTAAGCAACTTGTTGAAAATAGAATCCAGATGTTTGATTTTTTTTTTTTTTAACAGATGCTTTCCCTAAGTCAAATTTCATAAAAGAAGCAACAGAATGAGTAAAGAGGGAATTCTGCCAAACTGGTGTTTTGTATATTTTGCCAAGCAAACGTGGCAAAGAGCACATACCCTGGGCCACGGACATGCTGGTTTTGGCTACTGATGAAGCCATCTCTAACATGACATCTCTCCATCTCTAACTTTCCTGAATAATGAATGTGAATCATGAATCTTCACCTCAATGGGGATTTGTAGCACTCCATTATGGTTATAGATATATCAATGTACATTGAAATTATAGTGAGAAAAAACTGACCTCCAAATAAAAGAAACTACCTGCTAGTGGCAGGGTTGGCAATGAAAAGGGCTGAGGAGTAGAAGGTTATAGGTGTTAGCAAGAAAACGAGTTTTGAATGAATCTTATCAGTGTTTAGATGTGCAAAAAATTCAAGGTACAATGAAACACTCCATATGGTGAGTAACATGGAAAAAAATGTGATCTTTAGAACCACATGATTTTTAGTTAGGGCAGAATCTAGTCATTAAGAGTCAAAACTTAACTACTTTTTCAACTTTTTACTAATCTATGCTTTGAGAATACAAATTATATTAATCTATCAATGGAAGAAATATCATTCAAAGGACTGACAAAATCATGTACAATGTTTTCTTGCCAATTGCATGTGTCACATAAGCACTTATTCAGCAGCGGACCAAGCTTGCAGCAACTAAAGTTTGGTGCCAGAGTTAAGGAGTGTTTTTTCACAGTATAACATACAATACACAGCATAAGCCAATTACACTGTCATAGATGTCTCCTCCTACATAAATGAAGCTCCTACGAGAGGCACATAGGCAGGAGCAAATGACAATAGAATGTTATGAAAAAGCTTTTTTGTGAACGCACATTTCCAAGAATAAGTGAGAGCTGTGACTCTACATCAGGCTTTCTTTACCATTCTGCCAGCCCAGGGCCCTTCAGAGCGAGCATGAGAAGTTATTGCTTGCACACTGGTGTACAGCTAACAACATGCAGGCCACAGTGCCCTTGCTTTGAACAAGTCCTTCAGAGAGATCCCTGTGAGGGTCAAACTCTACTGTGTGCATTTACTTTGATAAAGCAATTCCCGGGGAAGGGGGAAAACTTCTTAATCTGAAGAAATATTCACCCCTCCCTTTATAAAAAAAAAAAAAGTTTTTTTTGGGGGAAAAAAATTTTTTTTAATTGATTTCAGAGAGAGGAAGGGAGAGGAAAGAGGAAGAGAAACATCAATGAAGAAAGAGAATCATTGACTGGCTGCGTCCTGCATGTCCCCTGATCAGAATTGAATTGTGACTGCCTTGGGCTCATAGGTCAACGGTCAACACAGAGACAACTGGAAGGTACTTACTCATTTTAAAAATCCTTTGAAAGTGTACATCTCTTAGACTTTGATGTGGGTTTAAAGGGGCGGGTAAACAAACCCAAAAAGATAGACATTGAATACCTTCCACTCAGCTGTATTCTATCAGCAAGTTTGGAAAGCTGATCTGGAAGCCTTCTCTGCTTGATGACTCCCTCAGGTGTGACGGAGACCTCACACAGCGAGTACTGATCAGGAGTGGCAGTCACAGCGAACTCCCTGATGGCCTGAATGACCACTTCCTTCGCCGTGGTGTCCTTACTGATCATGATGTATCGGCTTTGCTGGTCAGCTTTGAAGACTCTTAACACCTGATCTGGCAAGTCTGGGGGGGGGGGGGGAAGCCATATGTAAATAGAAAGGATTTTAATACATGGTAATACAATTAAGTGAGGTAATCTGAAAATAAAATTTAAAAAACCCTCTTTATTAAAGAGAATGCTAAACTTTCCCCTCTCGTTTACTATAGCTCTTCTTCAAACATGCAACCAGCCCACATGCTGATAATAGGCAAGGATGCATTTTCCCCTATAGAGAAACACATGACCTACAGACAAATGCAAACTCATCAGTCCATAAACAAAAACTAAAAAAAATTAAATCTAAATTTCATCTGTATTATATACTGAAAAGCTCATTATTAAGCTGACATAAAATAGGCCTTGTATTCTACTTACTTCGTATGACCTAATAATGCCTGCATGGTATGTATCACCTTCATTTTAGAAAAAAAGAAAAACAAATTTCAGAGAGATTAACTTGCCCACAGCAAGTTAGTCTGAAGAATAAAAAAGAGCTGGTTCCAATTGTTCAAAGGTGCACCCCGACTAAGCCTCTGATAAAGCCGGTGGCAAACCAAGAGAGATACATACAGCGCTACCACCAATGCACGAGAAGACAAGAGATGGTTGCAATTAAACAAAAGCAGCGTGGGCAGTGCTCACCAGGAGTAGTGCTGAAGTCTAAAATGCGATGGTGTGACTGCAGCAAGTCAGGGTTGCTGGATGACAAGGTGCCACTGACGGGCAGTGCGGTTGGGATGTGCTTTGTCTGCCTTAATCCCACGATGCTGTCATCTTGAGACTGACCGATCCCAATATCACTGAACAAACAGGAAAAATAGAAAACAAAGCCGTCAACCAGGTAGAACATTTAACTCATCAAGATATTACAGACACAGACCATAAAGTAAATCACATCTCATAGAACATGTAGTTGATGTAAAAATATAGATGACTTTGGTTGAGAAATGCGAAAGTAACGACTGCTCAAGACTGTATCCAACTCCATTTGTTTTGCTGTTTCTTAAGTGTACAGTGTGTTTCTCTGAAACCTATGTCTTTTAAATAAGACAAATCATAACAAATAGTAGTTTCTTAGTACAGAGATACCTTCAAGAAAAGAGAAGCTTTGGTTTCTGATGGAAACAGACTTTTTATTATTATTTTAAGTGTTTTTTTATTGGTTTTGAAGGGAGAGGAAGGAAGAGGGTGGGGGAGAGAGAAAAACATCGATTGGCTGCCTCCCGCATGCACTCAAACCCACACCCAGATATGTGCCTTGAATGGAACCCGAACCTCTGGCAACCTTTTGGTACAAGGGATGATGCTCAACCAACTGAGTCACATGGGGAGCCACATGGGTCAGGGCGGAAACAAAGTACATTAAAAAAACATACAAAAAACACACTTAGTTCTCACTCAGCTGACGGCTCCCGCGTCAAAATGATAAATTGTTTTAAAATCTGATCTTTAAGAACCAAAGAAACTGAGTGAAATAAAAAGAGGGGGGGAAAATCCAAACTGTCCCAATTTCATTCTTCAGTGTTTCCGAGAAATGAGATCACTATGGAGTCAAATGTAAATGAACCCTGACACAGACATTATTTCTTAATCACACAGAGCATAAGAAAGCAGTGATGCAGAGTGACATTTCTTGGTATCAGAGAAGAGGCAATGAAAATCCAGTGACTCACTTTTCTCTACTCAAGTTTTCTAGTTACACATTTAAGTACCCAGAGAAATACTGCTTATGGGTAGCTTCAAATTCATTTGCATTTATAAAATACCTGCTACTGTGGGCTACTTTACAAACAAAGACTTGAAACATGATTTAATAATAAAGATTGTTTCTAGATCTGAAGAGCCAACTGTTTTTAAAACATCAAAATACAACAATATGCATGCACACACAAAAAACTACTAGATCCCAAGCAAATGGTTAGAGCTCTTTTTATAAATGCCTTGAAGTTTCTATAAATGTTTCTATAAATGCCTTGAAAGAAGAAAAAATAAAATTATACTAAGATTGGAATGTCATAAATAAAATTAAGGCATTTATCATCAGTTAAGTTTTCAGATATTAGAGCTTGACCATAATACCAACTATTTTTTTTTGAATATATTTTATTGATTTTTTACAGAGAGGAAGGGAGAGAGATAGAGAGCTAGAAACGTCGATGAGAGAGAAACACTGACCAGCTGCCTCCTGCACACCCCGTACCGGGGATGTGCCCGCAACCCATGTACATGCCCTTGACCAGAATCGAACCTGGGACCTTTCAGTCTGCAGACCGACGCTCTACCACTGAGCCAAACCGGTTTCGGCTATACCAACTATTTTTAATGGTTCTGCTAAAAAGATATCCCGTAGCATTCTCTTTCTCTCTTTCTTTCTCTCTCCCTCTCTGCCTCCCTCTCTTCTTCCCTTGGCAAAATAGACATTATAAATGTAAATAAGTAAGGAAAAGAGCTTTCTTTGGGGAAAAAAAAATGAAAGATAATTTTAGTGTAAGTTCTTTCAAATTTATAGGTAAATACATACCAAAAGTTCTATTTATTAAGCACATAGAGGCATGCATATAAAGACTAAAAGTGTTAATGTTCTGTGAAACATTTGAACTTTTACATTGTTAGTCAAGTTTTAATATTCAACCACACAAGCCAATTTTTACTGCCAAAAAATATTAGATGTAATACATGAGCTGAGATAACTACTATGGGCTAGGCCAAAGATATAGCTGACTGGGCCACCCCTGGCACAAATGGCTGTAAGTATTAGTATACTCCAGGCACACCCAGAAGAGATGCCCTCTTGAGAAATGTTTCCTTCAGCATTTTAACACCTAATATGATCTAACTCTCTCCTCTTGCCTGTATCTTTATTATCCACAGACATGGGGAATGCTCCAGGATTGAAAACTACTTTATATTCAAGACAATTCGGAAATGTCTTTGAACACATCTTCTTACTGTTCAACCATTCCAACTCTGTCACTGTTACTGATATTGGTTTTTGGCCTTAGTTGATTTTAGACTATTGACTTACTCCCTCTTTTCTCTGGGTTCATCAGTATCTCTCTACTTTCCTGACAAAGAGTTCTGAATCCTATAATACAATCCCCTTGCCTCATTCCTTCCTTTCCCCTCTATTTACATCTCTCCCATGCCTATCCTTGGCAGTCCACATCATTCAGCATCTTAGTTTCCATAATATTTATAATGTTTGGGTGGGGATACAAAACAAAATGGCATATCTAGATTTCTCTAATTGATTAGTTTAGTGCCATTATAAAAAACAAAAAAAAACTTTGCAAACACATGCTGATTTCTAGGAGAGAAACGTTTTAGTAGTAACCTTTATTAAATCAAGACTATCAGACCAATATACACATCCTATATTTTACTGAGTCTTTTTAAAAAATGATTATTTCTTTCTACTGCATTGCAGTATAAATTATAGCAAATAATTTTTACGTAATAAAATACATAAATGATTCATACTTTTTTAAAAACTGCAAACCAAGATGCTTCCTCAGTGTTCCTAAATGAATACCTCTCATTATTGTCTCTAAGTTCACAGAGAACAAAATTATACATAGTATTTTCATACTGTGTACCTTGTTAACATACTATACTGTGAACGGATTGCATCCCAGTTCTTACATGTCACATTTCTATTAATACTTGCCAGGGTCATGCTGACTTTTGATTTTTTTTCCTTCAGGTTCATATTTAACTCATGGTCAAAGATTACTCTGAGGCCTTTTATTATTATTGTGCTGCCAATAATTCTACTAACAATGTGAAGGTTAGAATGTTTCACAGAACATTAATACTTTTTAGTCTTTATATGCATGCCTTTATGTGCTTAATCAAGAAGGGTCACTTTCAAAATCGACTTCTGTTTTCTGTAACGCAGACCTAATCCATGGCCACTTGGAAACTTACTCACTATAAATACGCTCTCAAGTCTATATATAAAACCATCTTATACATTGCTTATCCTTAAGACTCTATTACAGAACTCTTTTGTAGCTGATACAAAAACATCAATCATCATAATTCAATGGGGACAATACAAGCTTGACACTCAACCCATCAAAAGTATATTCTAGACCATATCTTTAATCTGTGGATAAAATTTTTAAACTGAAATGGAGACAATAAATCAACCCAAGGACTTGTATACATGCATATAAGTACAACCAATGGACATAAAACTCTGGGGAGGGAGGGGATACGTGGGAGGGAAGGAGGGGGGCAAAAAAAAATCAATAAAATATGTAAAATAAATAAATTAATTAATTAAAAAAAATGAAATGGAATTTAAAAATAGAAATGCTTGATATAGTCCTAAATCTCTGTAACTACTGTTCCTTTAATTATAAGTGAAAGAAAAGAACATGTTTTTACGTTATCTCTTATACCACTGTAGTTTGAGGAATATATAATAAATAAATTTGGTGCACCAATGTTATTTAACATTAAAAACTTTCTGACTGATGGTAACAGTTATATAAAACATCCTGAGACTGAGAAGAAGCTAAAATGAAGATATAACCAAGCAAACAAGCAAAGCTTAAAAAAAAAAAAAAAAAGGTGAAAACAACTACTTTGTCTAGTCTGAGCTCCTGGCATGAAAAAACAGCCAGGAAGAGATTTGAGAAATTCAAGATATACCTGACATTCTGACTGTAGAGGACATTGGGAAGAAGAAAAGAATTCTGTGTTTGGTTGGTGATATACTGGCAATGGTTAGGTAACTGCAAACAGAAAAGAAAGGAAAGAAGAGAATGCCAAGGATGAATAGTAGCAATAGGAAGAAGCAAAGATTTGGTTGGCAAAGAGCAGATGCTGATGGTAGAGAAGACACTCAGAAACAAAGAAATGGTAGCAAAACAAACAAACAAACAAACCACAAAACAACCCATTTCCCAATTATAGAGGATATGGGAGCAAATGCAACATTATATTTTTAAAGACTAAATGAGAAATAAAAAAAAAAATAGTTCAAATGAGAAAGTGCTATAGCTCTCTCTAATTAAGATTGGGATGGGCAAGTAAATGGCAAAAACATTATTAAAACAAACTTGATTGTTCAAGATTTCTTCTAAGATAGCTCAAATGTCAAAGCTTAAAGCCTTATTTAGACTCGTGCAAATATTAATTTCATCATTATCATTGCACATTATTATAACAAAAAATAATGCACACAAAATTCACACAGACACTTACTTATATGGTTTCTGTGGCAAGATACTGATCCGAGTCTTGTCGAGTATCTTCTTTAGCTTGTTCCTCCCTCCAACAGTATTGGCTTTACTTTTCTTATTTACCTTTTCAAGTCCTATCACCTGTTCCACATCTACAGCAAGATCTGGAATGGAGTAGCGACTGGCCTTTTTGATGTCTCCAATTTTAGGAAGGTGTGGGGCACCATTTCTTTTCTCTTCTGACAATCTTGTCAGAAGTTCTTTAAATACTAAAATGGAAATAAACACCACAGAACACCCATTATAAGAAATTGGAGCAATTCAAAGGCAACTGTAGAACTTGGAAATAGATGAGTAGTATAGACTTCAGCTATCAAAACTGTAATCTTATAGGAAAACTCTTCTCCAATGAATGAATAACAACAGGAATCTGCTTTATAATGTTTCTCTATCATTTCCACTCAGGATAAGTTAAAATAAAGCAGCTTTTTTTTTTTTTTTAAGATTTTTAAAATTAATTTTTAGAGTGAGAGGAAGGGAGAGGGAAAGAGAGAGAAATATCTCTGTGTGGGAGCAACATTGTTTGCTTGCCTTCTGCATGCCCCCTATCAGGGAATCAAGCCTAATGTTTAAAATATAACATATAAACTTAATTTTATGATTAAGTTTATAAAGATCAAAAGGAGAAAAATGAAAGTATGTAAAAATACTTACCAAATAAATTGGTTTTCACAGTGATAGATAAATGTGTGTTATTTCTAAGAATTTCCATGGCTTTTGACAGCTGAATATTTTCAAAGTTTTGACCATTTACTTCTAGTATCTAAACATAAAATTATAAAATTAATTATCAATATCCCAATAAACCAAAGAAAGAAAGACACCAATATTCACCTTGAAATCTGGATTTAGAAATGTCATACCTGATCTCCCCGTTTCAAGCCAGCTTCAGTGGCTTTGCTCCCCGAATCGACACTGTCCACAAAGATCCCAAACCCCTTCTCTGAGCCTCCAAGTAAGATAAAAGGCAAAGGAGCTTCTCGGGATGGTTTGGTTAATGTCATCAATCTCCTTTTTGCTTTAGCTGCACATGCAATATTTAACAGCCTTAGATGTCCACCCATTTTCTGTAAGAGTTCAGAAAGAGTGGTTTCAAAGACAGGCTGAATAAAATGAACTTAAAACCAGTGGTTTTAAAAATAATCACAACTATTACCTCTCTTTCCAGATTATTTTCAAATTCTTCTAGAAATCGAGTCATTGCAGGATCTCCTTCAAAGTCATTGAAGTGATTATTTACCCACAGTAATACTACCCGTGTAACCTGAAAAATTAATTGTTTTCAATAGGTTTTCTAAAAATTCAGCACTAAAAATTTGCAATTAAAGTGATTTCAAATTAAACATTTAAACAACCTCGTAATAACAAATAAGAAAATAAACTAAGTATAAAAAGCCTCAGCAATGATTTATTCATAAGGAAATGACTTTCTAAAATTTATACTCTGGATATTGACACTAGATTGTTCCATGAGTACAACTTAATGCTATGTTCTAAGAGCATCCTTAATACTTATAACAATGCTTGGCATAAAGTAAATGCTCATTAACGTTTTACTAAATGAAGTAAATTGCAAACTTTAAATGTAAAACCACTTGTTTTCTCTTATATGAGTTTAATTTCTAAATTTGAATAAAAGATCAAATAAATTTTCTATAGAATTGTTTCCAAATATTAACCTCTTAAAATGAAAAAATTAGGCACGCTATTCTACCAGTAAAGAAAAAGAGACGATGATATATAGCTCATTTTTAACCATAGTTTAAAACATTATTTATTGTTAATATACTGTGATAAATTATAGTATAAACCTAATCACTTATGGGTCAAATCTTGATATTTACATTAATTTTATGTCATTTACCAAAACTACTGCTCAATTTTTCAAATGTAGGAAACATATGATTGTTGACTTTCTAATAAAATTATAGTTTTGTAGCTGAGAAGCCAAATTGAAAGTCCACTAGCCATATTACACATTAGAAAAACGAGATTCATAAATCATAAAGTGAAAACTACCACCAACAGCAAGCAACCTTTAGGATGTGCTGGCTCTGAGCAAGGCATTACATAAAGAACTTTATTTTCTATTATTCATTTTCACAACAGTCTCAAATGGATGTTGATTATTCATTTTACAAGTAAATAAATGAGTGTCAGGAGGGTGAGACGGCATATAAGGTAAATGACAGAGGCAATACTACTCAAATCAAGCTTTTACAACTGAAGAGCCTGGCTGAGATCTAGGCTCTCAGAATATGAACTGAACAGCAGTTCTGTCCCAATGATTCCCTAAGGCCACACAGCTAGTGAGTAGCGGGACCAGCACTAGACCTTGGGCTTTTCTCCTGTTCTGGATTTTCCCACTCTGCCTCTCCCAACTCTGTAAATCAGACCGCACATGGAAAGTACAGACTATGATTAACTTTCAAACTTCATGAGAGTATGTAGTTTACCATCCAATCTAGCCTTGACACAGCTCACAAAGAGATGCTGAAGAAGGGCTGTTTAGAACTATATTACTGAGACCGACCAGCCAGCAATGATTGTCCTGCAATGCTGCTACGGTGCCAATTTAAAAACTGTAACTTTTCTTTTATCTGGTGTACACTGACCCTCTACTAGATGATACAGATTCCTATGAAACCCAGATGTTTGGGGGTGGTGCTAAAAGAACTGAAACTTAAACATTTGTCAATAATTTACTAACATTTGTATAAAACAAAAGGTAATTTCTAGGACTGAACTTAGCAACCTCTAACAAGAACTAACCTTTGTATCACTTTTGCTTAAAAAGTATACTCTTACTCCATTAAAATGTTTTGAACGTACTTGGCATGACAAATATACGAAAGTTTATATACGAATATTTCATACTTAAAAGTCAAACTAGAATATATTTTCCAACCTTATCCCTGAGGCTCGGGTCATTAAACCACTCCAATAACTTTTTGCCCACTTCCATTGGGCTAGAAAGAAAAGTCCTGTAGGTCAATAGGAAGTCTTCTATGAACGTTGGATCCACCACCGAATGCTCTTCCACCAAATGCATTGTTAATCTTTCTGAGGTGCCCTGTAACAAACAGAAGATTTAATCACTATTCTGCAGAAACAGCATCTGTACGGTACCCTGAGTTACTCAAATCTTCACTATAAGGCAAACTGGGTAGTGACATATAGAATTAACAAAACTGCTGTTCATCAGGAAATATAAAGACTTTTTACAAGTGATAACTTTTAAGAAAAACTATGCCTAAAAATTGGGCGGAGGAATCTAAAGTTGTCACACCTGATACTGCCAATAAAATAGAACCATATTTGTCTTACCTTGATGACGATGTGTCCCTTTCTTGTTCCAGTTCGATCAAGTTCTCGGTGTTCTTTCACCATAACAATTTCTCCTTCTTCCTCCACTTTTTGCATGTTCTTCTCTACTTGGTTGAGAATACGGCAATAATCTTGCTGGGCTATGCAGACAAACTAGAATAAAATATAAGTCACATGTTAATGATTAAGTGCTTGCAAGAGACAGCAGTACTAATAACTCAGTGTTTTAATTATTTAACTGACATTTTTATATGTCTTTGCCATACTTTCTAATGAGTGCAGTAATGAACCTTAATCAGAATTCTCTACTTTTTAATGTAGTTCTTCCTTGCTCAAGAAAAGTTTCATTTTTTAGAATATTTATGTGCAGTTTATATTAAAAACACCAACAATTTTAAAAATCAGATGATAACATTAGGAGTCCTTTCTCATGCTTCTTCTTTGACAATTAAAAAAGCATTAGTGGAGGGGAGTGTAATCTTAAAGAGGATAGACATAAAAACATAATCACCATTTAGTGGGTTTTAAAAGTTTGAAAAAAATCTTAAAAGCAAGATTTTAAAATAAAGATGGTTTCAATAGAAAGACGTTGAAATTCCATACATGGATATGTGGAATAGATATTAAAAATTTGCTAATTATATTGATAAATCATTTTAGAAAGTCTATTTAAAAAAAAGATCCACAAAACAAGCCATATATTTGCTAAGCTCAAATCATTATTCCTTATAACAGGCATTAAGGGTGATCCCTGCTCTTAAAGAAAAAGTTAACAATATACACCAAGCCATTACTCCTGCATATCTCCCTCTCTCTCTCTCTCTCTCTCTCTCTCTCTCTCTCTCTCTCTCACACACACACACACACACATATATATATATATATATATATATATATATATTTTTTTTTTTTTTAAATGTCAGGGCTTAGGGCAAAGCACTTACATTTCTTTGCAGTTTTAAGGAAAGTTAAGAACGAACTATAGAAATCATTTATAACATAAATTAACCAAGGCCACAGTTGCATCTGAATTTTGAATGATTTATTCTTATTTAAGAAATCATATTGGCATAAAAAATGAACAATTCTTTTTCTCTTTTAATGTGAAAAGATGAAAAAAAGAGGGGGGTGGTTAGATTATAGCATACATAAGATAAACTATGAAAGTCATCCAAAGTAATATTTTCATAGGACATTTAGAGTTCTGGCTTAATGTTCATGATACTACATTAAATATTTTAAGGTAAAAAACCAAATATTGTAATATTTATAATGGTATCCTCCTTCTCAGCATTTTGCAGTAACCTTACAAGACTTCTTCAATTTATCCTCCAAATCATCCCATATAGAAGGCACTACGATTATCCCCATTGTACAGATGAAGACACAACTGTAGCATCGGCTACTAATTTCCCCGAAGTCCCATAATTATATGCTCACCACTTTAGAAAAATTATATATGCATATCAAAATCTTAGAAGGAAATATAACAAAATGTTAATTATTTGTAAGCAATGCAAATTATAACTGACTTTCAATTTTTAATATACTTTTCTATATTTTCCTTTTTTTTTTTAAAAGAAGTTGGAGGACCAGTTCACATTCGAGAAATAGCATAATACAAAACTATTTCTTCTACTGAGTTAGATGATATCACTAATTTTTCTATTAAGACTTTAGAATCAAAAGTTAAAACTCAAAAGACATAGGCTCTCCTTGTAAATAATTATACATAGCTTATTTATTTTTAAAAATTCCTTAAAAAAAACCATTTCCATTACACCAACCCCATATATAGTGCTTAACCTTTGGTCTCAAAAGTATTTTTATTTTTTAAAACTTTTACAGGGAAGAAAAATTGTTTCCCCCATCTCCAAATAACCGTGTTCTTTCTTATACTTAGTTTTAGAGAACATAATTCTAGCATTTCCTCATTCATCTCCTAACAAAGAAATATATGAGTTAAAATGACTAAGTAGGCAGAGAAAAAGAATTTTTTTTGAAGAGAAATGTACTAAAATGAATCTGCATGACTAAGAATTTAAGAAAATTAAAATAAGTTTGATTTAAAATTCTCAATGTCTAGACAGACAGTTTGGGCATTTTTTCCTTTAGAGATATAAATGACATTCTCCAGTTTATTCCATATGCTTTTGTCTGCAACTATCAGAATATGTGATTCAAACTTTCGCATAAGGATTCACATCTGCATTAAACCCAAAGTTAAGGGTGGGTTTAGTACTGGTTGACTCAATGAACTAAATACACGGAGTGGTCAGGTTATTATGATCTCTGAACGCATAATCATCTGGCCACTCAGTGTATATCCTATATAATAAAAGGCTAATATCCAAATTGTCCCCTCGACCAGGAGTTTGACCAGCAGCCAGACCGGCCAACAGCCCATTGTTCCCTCCCCTGGGCCAGGCTGGCTGGACGACCCCACCCATGCACAGATTCATACACTGGGCCTCTAATACACACACACACACACACACACACACACACACACACACACACACACACAATGAGTGTCCAGATTATTAATTGTTCAGAGATTACAATAATCTGGCCACTCCGTATATTATTAAGGACTCAGGCTCTTTTGGTTTCTCTATCTAAAGTTTGGACTTCAATCTAAAGCAAATTCCTCATGACTCTAAGATGCATGCCAGTGACAACCAAGCTTCAAGCTTCCTCATTCACATGCAGGAAAGTGAGAGAGAATATTGCTTCTAGTTTGGGCATTTCTTCAGCAAACTAAAATGCCATAAAAAAAGAAAAATCCCAAACTGAATTTCTAATATGGCCATATAGAGCTGATATCTAAAAATAAATTTAAGATGAAAACATTTATCTACATTTTTATTAGTTATTTTTGCTTTAAGAAGTTTACAAATCTAGTGAAAATTCTGGTAAAACAGAATTTTAACTGGTATAACAAATTCAATTTGTGAATTGTTTTGGTGAGATTTATACTTTCAGATAGCTGTTGAACCTAATGTTCTTGGCATTTTGATATAAAATAAAAACCCAAACAAGATTTTGCTTCTAAAAGGCTAATGGCAGTTTATGTCATAGTATTATTTTCTCTTGGGTACATGACATCACAATTTATATTAATCAAATTAATTTTCACATTTGGTCTCAATATTTTCTCTAGTCTTGAATTAAATGTTTTTAAATAATGAATAGTAACATAGTCTCAGCATTGACAGGTTAGCTATTAAGTATTTTCCTTATGTCAGCAATTAATTTTTACTAGCAAGTCTTTCTACCGAATCACACTAAGATTGATTTTCATGACTTCTAAAACTAATTTCTTATCTTGTTTATATTAAATAAAAACACTGTATAACTGCACCAGATCATCTTTATTAATCTATTTATACAATTTATTTTTAGAATATGAGTTTTACTCCCATATATTTTGATGAAATGCATAGATTATCAATTATTAATGGAAAAACTTAAAATACCATCTGTACAGAACACTCTTTTTAAGAGAACATATTTCTAGAACACTTAGTTTTTTGTAGTTCAAATAACTTTAATAAGATTTATTTTTAATTTCCTGGGGCAGGATAACACTAAAAGCACTATAATTATCAGCTCTACTTTAAAATCTTACTAATAAATCTAAAAGCTGACCTATTTATTTAGGCATAAAAGTCTTACCACAACTACAGATATATGTTCTTTATTAAGCATAAAATAAACTTTAAAAAAATGATACTTTATACCTGGCAGTCATCCACCTTTGTTCTCATTACTCCTTTCATATATTCTTTGTCCATGGTGGGAGAGACACCAAAACTATTTCCCATACATAGTATTTCTGCTTTGCCATCTGGGTAAGTCACTTCTACAGAACCATTGAGAATCACTGACCAGGAATCCAGCTAATTCAAAAAATAAGTACAAAACAGAAAATAACATTATGATCATGCAGTTGTAAAAGACAGAATACTCCCTACACATGATTTAGCAGACTTTTCATTCTAAAGATGGAACAAATAAGTAAAGTTAATGGTTTACCAAATTCACAGAACAAGGAACAAAGCATAGCCATGTATGTAGTACATATTTTTTATATCTAGCAAAGGGTGTATGTCATTCTGCTCCCTCAATATAACTTTGCATATTATTCTCTAAAAAGACATAAGGGGTCCTAGCCAGTTTGGCTCAGTGGATAGTGTCTGAATGTGGCCTGAAAGGTCTCAGGTTCCATTCTAGTCAAAGGCACATGCCCAAGTTACAGGCTCAATCCCCAGTAGGTGTGCAGTCAATCAATGATTCTCTCTCATCACTGATGTTTATCTCTCTCTCTCTCCCCCTCCTCCCTCCCTCTCTGAAATAAATAAAAATACATTAAAGACACAAGGGGAAAATTTCTTCTGTTCCCCAAAACACACGCAGTAAATAAGAAAAAGTGATCACCACTGCTTGAATAAGAACATTAATTTCTTCTGAAAAAAGGCATATTATAAACATTTAAGTTGTAACATCTGTAAAGTTAACACATAACAATATCTTTATCAGTATCATTTAAAATTTTGTAAATAACTGAAAAAAACAAACAATGGATTTGGACTACTTTGACATAATAATGAGCATATCATAACTCTTGACTTACTCAAACTTGTTTATTGGTTTTTAAGGGGAAAAAGTTCATTTGCTGTGTTGACAGAACCTCAAACAGAAACTTTCTAAGTGGAAGAAATATTTACTAACCTCTTCACCATCATTTAACACTATGGTCCCAGCTCTTTCCACCACTGCAAATACCATCACAGCACAGAGTTCCCGTCTCACTGACATCGTCATATTGGCAAAAGCAGGCAACTGGTGCATAAATTCCAAGAGTTGTTCTGAAAAGGAAGGATATTCTGTAAAAATCACATTGTTTTTTAAAAGAAGCAATCAAAAAGAATGCTCTAGGGTTCTGTATTTTTAAATGCCCTAAGATTCGACCCATTGAAAAATGTAATTACCTACTTTAAGTATCTTTAGTACAAGTTGGCTTTCTTGCAGGTCTACAAAGATTTGTCATTATGAAAATAGTGTCATTTCCTTGTTGTGTCAGGAGCAATGGTATACACTGTAATTGAAATTCTAATAGGAATGAATAAATTAATAAACTTCAAATGGGAAATTTCTATTGAAAACGAGCTGTGATTTTATTAAGGCTTATTAAGAGGTGAAAGGATAAGCTGAAATGAAATAGAGCTCTGAGAATTCTCTGAAAGCCATTTCAGTCCACTCCAATGCCTTTTGAGCAAACAGATGCCCAAAACAGTGAACAGAAATAGCTGCCTTCAACCTAAAGATATTCCAGGATTTAGGAACCAGAGCAATACCAGCCAGGCTTGTCTTTTTTGAAAATCTCACAGGGAGAAAACAGACTCAAAGCCTTATAATGAGGTGGTGGCAGTAACACGATTCAGGACCATTTGCCTCAAGAGTTCACATTGGACATCACAGGTAGTGATGAAGAGCAGAAGGTGTGTGTCAGACATCATTTGAATGCTTACTAGTTATATTATTTTGGGAAATCTTAGGTAATTTCATTAAGGCATATTTCTCTCATTTGTTAAAAAATAATATACATGTCTTTATTGGACACTTGTGAGGATCAAATGCAATAAAGGTTAAGTCCTTAACACAGAGTAAATCTATAATTATAAAAGGGTAATACGCTAATTAGACTGGATGTCTTCCGGATGTCATTCAGATGTCCTTCCTGACAAAGCCAGGGCAGGGGAGAAGCCAGCCCAGGTTTTGGGTGCCTGAGGAAATCCCACCCAGGCCTCAGGTGCCTGCTGGTGGCCAGAGGAGGGAAGCCTGTGTCCCGGCAGCCTGATTCCCAGGTGCTGGAGGGAAACCGTGCCAGCAGCTGGGGGATGGAAGGCCTACTCTTGCACAATTTTTCATGCATCAGGCCTCTAGTATTTAATAAATGAAACAGCTACTAATGTCTTTATTAATATTCCTTCTATCTTATGACAACTTTTATGTTGTTGTATACAGTTTGTTAATTGCAAAAACAATGTAGAATAGAAAGATATATTCTACATATGAATGTATATTACACATACATATACATGTATATTACATTTCCAGGTCAGACTGGGTGATTTTCTTTAGCTCAGCTGGGTAATGTCTGCTCTGATTAGACCTTACGTCATCCCTCCTGTGTAAGACTTTTCATTATATAGGGTGGCTTTGGTAATCAGGCGCATAACAATCATAGGTGGTATCCAGGGACTCTGTCCAACAGGACAGTGTTCTTCAACTTGACCCAGACTGACTGATGCGTTAAGAATTTAATTTATTGTTGTAACCAGCTGTTGTTGTTTTTTTAAATGAAGAAGAAAGAGCATTAAAGCACATCACTTACAGAAAGGATGATTTGGTGTGTTTATATTACTTATTTCTGGGACAGTAATAAAGCAATTTTGAAACCACTGCAAGTGATGACCCATATTTATTACATATGTGAGGTAGGAATCATTGTTTACAAATACACTGACCTTCTGGTTTAAAACATAAAGGCAAATGAACAAGTTGTGGTCCTCTGACTGACCCATCACAGCTCTGCTGTTTCCAGCCTCAACCAACTCATCATAAGGTCTGAAAGTATCACCTTTAGACCACCCATTTAAAAAAATATATATTTTTATTGATTTCAGAGAGGAAGGAAGAGTCCTGCATGCCCTCTTCTTGGCCTGTGAAACCTGAGCATATGCCCTTTTCCAGAATTGAACCTGGGACCCTTCAGTCCACAGGCCTATGCTCTATCCACTGAGCCAAACCGGCAAGTCCCATTTTACTCTTTCCTTTCCCTGGGTAAAAATCAAAGATTCATGGACTTAAGAAAAATATGAGACTGGAATTTGCCAGAAATATTTTCAACTTCACATAATGTTTAGACAATATAAGTCAAATTACCAACACAAGTATGATGAAACAATTTGAAGTATCTGAAGATGAAGTATAAAATATAATCACTAATACTTGCTATAATGATTTAATGCCTTGCACAGACATTTTTTCTTGCTTTTTGGCAGATTTCTACTCCATTAGTAGATAATAAAATCAATCTGTGATAAATGAGTAGTGACTAACATTAAAAAAAATACATGATGTAAAATATGTGTGCATTACATATATTAAGGATAAATAATAAAGGAGGATGAAAATATCTAATAATAGAAAATGTCCATAATTCTTCAGGCTCAGTTGAAAACCAAAAAATAAATAAATGGTTAACCCGATGTCATCTAAGAGTTTTTAAGACTATCAAAGATTTATTAAAGGAACGGAATATTGCTTTTTGTGAAAAATATTAGCCATTTTAAAAAACTTTTTTCCTAGTAAATGTGACACAGTGGAAAATCAAATAATCAACTTACAAGATCAGAAACTGAAGCCAATTCAGAAAATTAGCTTACCTTATTTGCTTTGGCTTAATTTTATGTAAGAAACAATATTAATGTGTTTTATTTTATTTTTTAAATCTATGGAGCCAAAACCAGTTTGGCTACTCAGTGGGTAGAGCATCGGTCTGTGGACTGAAGGGCCCCAGGTTCGATTCCGATCAAGGGCATGTACCTTGGTTGCGTGTACATCCCCAATAGGGGGAATGCAGGAGGCAGCTGATCAATGTTTCTCTCTCATCGGTGTTTCTAGCTCTCTATCCCTTTCCCTTCCTCTCTGTAAAAAAAATCAATAAAATATATTTTTTTAAAATCTATGGGGGTTTTGGTGGTATATGATTAGGGAAAAAGAAATTCTTTGAATGGGACCAAAGTCCTTTTTTCTATCTTAATGTGTTAAGGCCTCAAAACAAAAGATCCAATTAATAATCATTCAATTATTAGCTACCTACAAATTATGAGTTGGGAGACTAAAAATGAATAAAGTCCCTTCCTTCAAAGTAATGAAACAAAGGTACACCTAAAAATCTAGGGAAACCCAAAGAGAAAATTGCAATTCTTGCAGTTTTAAAAATGATAAAATATTAGCAATTTAATTTGATTCAATACTCCTCCCTTCTTTCCCCCCCCTCACCCCCACCATCCCTTCTTTTCTTGTGTGGATAGGAAGAGAGGCATTTAGAGAAAATATCAATTATCCAGATGTTTGTAGTTCATATGAAAGATGCCTGTTTTAACTAAATAATGGAAGATGAATTAGATTTAACAACAGTAACAGCAAATGATAAGGCTAAAGAATTCTAATGTGTGGTTTTATTTTGAGGAGATAGATACAAGATCTAAGATCTCCTGTGGACCAAACAACATTCATTAGGCCTTATCTTTAATGATTTAAAAGTATATTTGATAAGAGCAAGCATCAAGATCATTGCTGCTTGCAAGAAAATTGGTATTCAAGGAAATGTTATTCACTGTAGAGATAATATCAACAAGTACATTATTTTGTAGGAATCAGCATAGTTCTTGCTTTCCAGAAATGCTAGGAGAAAAATCTCAGATATAAAGTAAAAGCCTTACATTTTTAAGAATGACATGCTACATATATTTTGACACTAGTCATCATTTTCTTCCATAACTATACTAAAACAGACATATTCAAAGAGAAGATACATAAGCTCACAAAAGGGTAACTTCCACATCAGTCTGTCCATAAGCAGTGTTCAATCTAATTTAATCCATGCTATGAGCAAGGATTCTGGAACATAACAGCAAACAGAATACACTTTAGTCTTATTCTCTCTTTAAAACTATTATAGAATAAGGAGATTTTTAAAAAGAAGTTGGTAAAGACAAAGAGGAGAGTGAAACAATTTTAGACACTGGAAATCAGATGAACATGTGGTATCAAAGAAAGCAAAGCCCTGTGTTTTCAGGGGGTAAAACAAAACCACTCCAATGTATGTGCAGGGCCCTCAAAAGACTTAGAAACCACCAGCACCTTTGGAATGAGGAGCAGTGACTGTCAAGGAGGAACTAGAGGCGTGTATTTGAGAAGCAGTCAAACCCCTCACTCCAGCAAAGATATAGGCGATAATTATCCAGAAAAGGTCAATGCAGAACTCACTTCATATTAGAGGCCATTTTCTTCAATTCTGAGCCCTTTAAAAGGAAATACTGGCTCCACCTTCCTAAAACAGGCTCCTGTTCACTATACTCCCCCACCTCCATCACCCCCCGAATTTCACTTTATTCTTCAGACAGCAACAGACCAAGGACCTCATCCGCCTTCCTACCCACTGATGCCAACATATGGAAAAATGCTCAGTACATACATAGAAGGTGCTCAATCTAATCCAATGATTATCACCATATGACATTCATCTAGACGCAGCTAGCAAGCCCTATATGTGGCTTTACAATATTTTAATATCTAATCCCAGGTTTTGCTTTTTCATCTTTAATTTCCTAGCCTATGCATATAGCTTAAATGATAAAAACTGTTTTTCAGACATAATGTTTGTCTCCCTCAAACACACATGCAACCAGCCACTCATAGTTATGCCTATACCGTCTTCTAAGCAATCTCAATAGATTCAGTTCCTTGACTTTCTCTTCAAATACGTACTGGCACAAAATGAGTTGGGGGAGTGATAGGACAGATACTCTGGGCTCAGGTAAGTATGGTTACAGGCTCTAGACCTGTGGTGGAGAGAAGACTCCAAGAGAAGTTGCTCTCACTCTCAGTAGGCTGAGGAGAAACCAGAGTGCAGAAGGCGCACTCAAAACACTAAACCCCTATCATACAATCCACTGTGGCCTGATGGGAAAGGTGGGGATAGGATACCTCAAGGAAAGGGTGAGTGGATTTAAACTACTTAGCTTTTTAACCTTAGGGTGTGTTTAAAAAAAAGACAACTCCCACAGCTCATATGCTGCAATTTGACATTCTGCTGAATTCTTCTACTCAGTCATATGGAATCGGAATAGAAGCAAAGTTCTTGACGGGGCAATTTCCCCAAGTGCCACTTGACTAATGTTTATATAGAGAAATCATGAGCTTATGAGGAACAGTGCCCACAAGAAAACTAATAGAAGTAATGTTATTTGCAATACCTTTAATTTTTTTTTTTGGGGGGGTGTCATAAAGTAAGCTAAGAAAAGGCTTATGTGGGAAGTTTGTTTTATTTGTAGATTCTTAAAGAAATTGACTGAGCAAAATTGATTGCAAAAATATGTTTCTATGAAATGCTACTGTTTACACAAGGAAACTGATAAAATTAATGGCTTTTCAGCCCCCCTGTTCTTGGGTACTGTTCTATTGGATACTTTTACTTCTAAAGACTTTGAATTGCTCTCAGATTCACATTCTCCTCCAAACTTACCAATATCATCGTCTGTCCTGTCAATGGGGTCCTTCTCCAGGCAGTCTCGCACAATGTCCCTGCTCATCAGAGGATCTGATGCCCTCTCAATGTCTTCTTCATCGTCGTCGTCCTCAGAATCCACAGCTGTTTCTGGCAACCCACTCAGGTCCATATCACCAGCCTCACTTTCTGTGGCCTTAACACAGAGCAAAAAAACACACCAATATTTAAGTAAATCTTTTTTTTTTTTAAATAAATTTTATTGATTTTTTACAGAGAGGAAGGTAAAGAGATAGAGAGCGAAAAATATCAACGAGAGAGAAACATCGACCAGCTGCCTTTTGCACACCCCCTACCGGGGATGTGCCCGCAACCAATGTACATGCCCTTGACCAGAATCGAACCTGGGACCTTTCAGTCCGCAGACCGATGCTCTACCACTGAGCCAAACCAGTTAGGGCTTAAGTAAATCTTTTGTATAAAAAAGAAACAAGAGCAAATCTAGTTTAAAATATTAAAGTGTTTATTATATCAATTTTTCTGTAACAAAGTTACACGTATCAACATCAAGTAGTTATGTACCTAGCACTATGTAAAATAATTATTTCAACAAAATGAGTGATTTTATTCCCTATTAAATTTTTTGTTGGAATTAATAACTTTCTCTATATTTTTATTTCTTATCCAAGCTATCATATGATAGTTAAAACATAAAGGGGGGAAAAAAAGTTCATGTTTTCATTTCATTTTTAAAAGAGAGAATGACTTAAGCTCATGTTAACATTTTCTAAAGTTTGACAAAAAGAATTTTAATCACATTTTCACTTTGTTAGGTACCATTTCCTGAACTAAAGTACATATGTACATTATAGGGAAAACCTAGGGGGAAAATAATTGAAGACAGAGTACCTAATGAATATAGGACAATTGAAAATGTCTGTAGGACACTCTGCAAGCAAGGCCTTAATAAATACCACTTAACAAACATGAGCAGAGGTGCTCCAGTTGGGAGAGCAATAAGGCCATGGCCGAGGCAGAGAGAACCAACTGTGGCACACTCAGAAACAAATTGCCTAATTTAAATTCAGAATCCACAGAATTGTTTCTTAATTCTAGAATGAAAATGGAGTAGAGCTTGTTGTGGTACAGCATGCCAAGGCTGCGAGCACAGAATCTAAGCCAGCATCGGTGCTATTGGCACCTTCTGGATGACGTCTAAAAAGGGAACCGATGGATGTTTCTCTATCACAACAATGTTCCTCCCTCTCCCAGCATGTATTCTGGTGAGAATTAAAGAAAAATAAAAACTACTCTACAAATTTTACATTAAGTACTTAAAAATCATTTGTGAAAAAACTTTTTGCTTATTAACTATCCCACACATGGATACCCATGTTTAAGAGGATTGTTTAATAGAATTCTTGATTTAAATAAATTTTGTGCAGAATTTCCAACATTCACATTTAACTCAAACAGTACCTAAATTTAGGCTAGATATATATTTAAGCTTCAAAGTTAGAGTGAATGCTAGTGTTGATGCTAATTTAACTGAGACCAAAGTGAGTAGAAACAGCAGACAAAACCAATACGTACAAAGTATGAAAATGCATTTCAAAGTAAATATAATGCTTGCATTAATCTAGTTTGTGTATCATAATTTATACTGTTCCTAATCTATACTACCAACATTTTTATTTAAATATAGGGTTTAAAAATATGTGTATACCTAAAAGAAAATAATTCTTTAAAGCTCTTAATGTAAATTGTTAGGTTTCTTTCCAAAAATTAATGATCCTAAAGGTATAAGAATATCTATCTGTAAATATTTATTATAAGAAAGTCTGCTAATTTGATAGAAAAAAAGTTTCATATTTACAGCCTCAGATACTCAAGTACTAATATTTAAAGGTATAGACACTTGCATGATCTCTTCTGCAAATTACCTACTCTTGCCCTTTGAATACTGTAATATTATGAGCTGAGTATTTTTCTTATTATTTTGCATAAGTGAGTTATAGTCTGACTTTACAGGTCTCACTTGATCTTATAATTATTAATTTTTTGACCATTCATTATACCATAAGAATTTGATAATTCTTGGAATTTAATCTTAATTATGGTATAAAGTGAGATTATAAAATGACCCCTCCACCCCAAAGACCATTTATTGAAAAATCCACAACTTTTTTCATTGATTTGCGAGGTTTCCTCTAATATTACAATCCTTACACACCAGTTCTATTTTGCTTGAACTCTCTGTTCTATTGATCTACTTCTGTGCAACTATTTCCAGTCCACCTAAGTCATTTCTCTGCTAATCACACCATTTAGCCAGGACTTTATGAAGCCTGGAAACTGTTTTGTCTCATATCACCAACTAAGCCATTTCTGCTTTCTATTACCAACAGCCTCCTACTTGTTTTGCTTCCATCCATCTTCCATCTGCTTCCACCTGCTTTCAAGGTCACCTTGCTTTAAAAAACTGAAGCATGATCTTCAAGACTCTATTACTTCCTATCTCTAGTTCTCACACCTTTAGTTAATATTTCCTAGTTTAATATTTCAGTCACATTCAGTAAACGCATCTGCCCTGCATGGCCATGATTTTCTGGCAGTATACTAGGCTCTAGAGAGAAAACAGACAAACAGAGAAGTCCCAACTTCTTGACGCTGTCATTCTTTTTTTTTTTTTTTTAATATATTTTATTGATTTTGTACAGAGAGGAAGGGAGAGAGATAGAAAGCTAGAAACATCGATGAGAGAGAGTCATCGATCAGCTGCCTCTTGCACACCCCCTACCGGGGATATGCCCGCAACCAAGGTACATGCCCTTGACTGGAATCGAACCCGGGTCCCTTCAGTCCCCAAGCCGACGCTCTATCCATTGAGCCAAACCAGTCTCGGCTTGATGCTGTCATTCTTTTAGGAAGACAGAGAGTAGTAATACTTTCAATTAAAAATCTAAATAAAAGAACTAACCAGGAAGGAACCAAAATATAGGACCTGCTTTGTAAAGGGGAATTACATTTTTTAAAAACCCACTGAAAAAATAGTACTTAAAAAAGAAGACAAGCCGGGACAGGTCTGGCTCAGTGGATAGAGAGTCGGCCTGCGGACTGAAAGGTCCCGGGTTCGATTCCGGTCAAGGCCATGTACATTGGCTGCGGGCACATCCCCAGTGTGTGTGTGTGTGTAGGGGGGGCGGGGGGTGCAAGAGGCAGCTGGTTGATGTTTCTCTCTCATCGACGTTTCTAACTCTCTGTCCCTCTCAATTCCTCTTTGTGTAAAATCAATAAAATATATATATTTTTAAAAAGGATCACGTTAGGAGAAATCATGCCAGTCAGAAGGCAAAAACAAAGCTCTGCAGCTAGGAAGAGCCTGGCATGTTGCTCCATCCGTCTTCGCATTACATTCATATAACAAAACATCAGTCACGAGTGAAGCCAAATCTTTGATTTCTTTGTGTGGAGAAAATTACTTAAAAGGGCAGAGGAAATTCGTTCTATCTTTAAGGGCACCAACTCAATTGAGCTGCAGTGACCTGGTCAATTTGCTTGCCTACTCTCTAAAACTACTATTTCAAAACTTCTCTCCCCTTAAATCTCTCTATCAGCCAAACCTCTCACCCTAACAAATGAGCTCAATTCTCTAAGAGAATAACAAAAGCCAACAGACTGAACCTCTTTCCAAACTTCCCACTCCAAAGCCATCATGGTATATCCCTTTTAAAACAAAGGAGGGTTTCTTTTCTTATACCTAGTTATTCCCCTGTGCTCTTGAATTCTCCTCCTCCCAACCTCTCAGAAAAATTATTCTCCACTTTCCTCTCTTGTACACAGCATTCAATTTCAGCCTCTCTGTGTCCATCTCATGAACATTCATACTCACTTCAACGTGACAGCTTTCTCCTAAGTCAGAACTGTACAAAGCTTAAATGAGCTGCCATTAGAGATAGCTGCCCATCTCTGGAATTGTTCAAGAATCAACTGGATGCTTGATTGACAGGAAAGTAGTAGAGAATTAAAATACAAGACTGGTTACTAAGCCAGGTGCATTTGTCAGGTTTCTTCTCAGCTTTAGAATTTCTGACTTAAAGATGATAGATGGGGTCTATTGGGATTTTTATTCAATGTTTATATACTTGTGAATAGTCAACAACTAAATCTACATCTATGGATTTATATCCTTATGAAGAATATATAATCTTACAGGCAACATACCTACCATCAAGTTTGAAATGAATAGCCTATAAACTCAACTATAATGAATCAAATACATGGGGATTCTCTTTTCCATTTACACCCCAAGATAAAGTCAGACTGCGGGCTGCAAGCTCCAACCACATCAAGGCAATCTGGAGTTCTCACCCACATTCTGGATACTGAGACATTCTGGTGGTAGCTCAGTATAGCAGAATGCCATCAACATTTTCCTTATGGCATTGCCCCAGCCTACACAAGGTAAGAGCACATAAAACAAGCATTCCCCTCCAAATATGTCTTAATAAATTATATACACATCTTACTACTTCTTTTTTTTTTTAAAATAAATTTACAATCTTGTTCGTATATATGTCAAGAAATCTGTGGTAACTTCTACAACCTCAAGATGTTTCCCACTATAGGTACTTAAAATGTATAATCATCTCTATGTTTAGAAGACAATATAAATTAAAGTACAGCTTTAACTTATACTGTTTTCATTATTAAAACTTTAGTGACACTCTTGAATAACTGTTAAAATATATAAACTTCTAAAAATAGGTAATATGGGGGTAGGGTTGGGAGGGAGAGTAAATTTACCCTGATCCCCCACCTTTTTCTACTCTAACATTTGAAAGTAGGATTCCTTCCTAAAGATTTAAATACAAGCTAACAATTCATTAAAGCGGAGATTTGAAAAGTTACTTTGAAGAGCCAGATTAGTTATATATTTTATTGCAAAAGAAGAGAAATTTTTAATCAGTCAAGAATCTTCAAATAATTGCATTTGTAAGCTTTCTACAATACCCTTGAATTATAGAAAAGTGTGTACCTAAGGCATTATCTCCTTAAAAGAATATTAATTTTCTAAGATCTATTCAATTTAGGGTTTAAAAATGTTTTGCCCTAATGATATTCTAATTATTGAGTTACTTTTGGTGTTTTGTTTTGTTTTTTAAATAGAGACTTAGCACTGTCTAATTACATCAATGACCCTAAAAACTATGTTTCTTTAAAACAGTACTTTAATCAGTCTTATAACACAATTCCTAAGAAGCCAAGCACTATACTTTGTAAAGTATGTATTATTTTCTTTTTATTTCAAACAATCCAAAATTCCATATTAGTAATATATAAAGACCCCACCAAAAGGGCTTTTTTTTTTTTTTGTATATTTCAGTCACTTTTCCTAAATTTGCATTTTCTAACTCAATTAAATTAACAATTAAATAAAATTTAAATTATTTTGTTTAAAACATTTTTTTTTTTAAATTACATAGTTCCAGTTCCTTTTCTATTCATTGGGATCATAAAAATTTATTTTGAACATGTAACTACATCCATAAGTAAGAAAAACAATGATCTAATCTTAATAATCTCTTCCTTTTTTGTCATTCCCAAGACTTCAATAAGAAAAACTCACTATCAGAGCATAATTATGCAGTTATCCCTTACAATTTTAGTTTAAAAGTCACAAACCTAATACACCTATACTCAAATTAATATTTAAAGTCAAGATTCCTCTTAATAAGTCAATATTGATACAAAGATTTCCACTGTAACAATTCCATTAAAAATTCTAATAACTGGTAATAGCAGCGACAAATACAATTAGGCAGTAGTTCTATTTCTTAAAACAAACTACAACATACTATACTATATGTCTGTGTGAAGCATAAACATTAACACTTTATGTCTGTGGATGCACACAATATGTACACATATAGTTATTTTGTAGGTTCTATCAAATAAACCATACTAGGGTAATCATAAAGCTCCTTGGAATGCATGGAAATGAAGGAAATCTCAAGAAAAACACCTTCTTACCTGGTAGATATCAGAAAGACTGCTGCTTCCAGAATCACTAGTGATACTACATCCTGAGTGGCTAGAAGAAACGTGGGTCACCTGTGGGTGGAGGCTGTCAGTAAGGTGGAGTTTTGTGAAATCTGCAGGCAGCTATGGAAGGAGCAGAAAAAAAACTAGTATTACAATTTGAATCAAGAATTCCAAAAATTCATTTAAAAGTGATATTATACTGTACGTTATTTAGCCAAATATATTATTAGGAAAGATTCTTCATTTTTTAAAATTCAGAAACTACTGAAGAATTGTCCTATTTACCAAAAATCATAAAAGAAAATTTGAAAGTTCATGGGCAGTCAATGAACCTCAAATAATTACAAATTCAACGTGTAAATAGGTGGGTGTGGTGATTTTAGATGAAGTCAGGTAAGCATTTAATTCAATTAAAATAAAAATGACAAATTACACACCAAGAGCAAATTAGTCTACTACTACTACTACTACTACTTGTTAGCCATCACAAATGCAACTTTGTGACAAGAGACGGCTTAAATAAGAAAAAAGACTGAAGGTTTTTTTTTTTTTATAGCCCCCCAAAATATTTGAAGATTTAAAAAATGAAGCATCTTAGAATTGATGAAGTATATTATTAAAGAAGTAACTGCTAGTCTCTATGGATAAGTCAGAAAAGAATGCTCTCAAAAAACGTAGAAGTGAATAAATTATAGACAACATTTACTTATCTATACAAACACACATAAATATCAATTTTCTACGTGTTCATGTTTAAACCATAAATAAATGTTGATCAGATTCACTAAGCATCCCTCAAGTGCTTCCACCACTCTCCCATAAAACTGAGAAAATGCACTGAAAACAAAAACACTCATACATTTGCGTAATGAGCAAGTATTTACAGAGCCCTCTTCCTCTTATTATGTGCTAGTCAGTGAATGAGACACTAAGAAAATACTACCCTTAAGTATCTTGTGCTCTTATACATTATTACCAATTCTTTTGAATTAAAAAAAAAAGATGCTATCTATAATACCACACTTATAATTCTACTGGCCAAGAATACATATGGCATTTCAAAATATATGCTAACTTCAACATCATGCAATCTTAATAACATTCTCTTTCCTGCCTGCATATTGGTCCTATTTAGCTGTTGAATAATAAATATACAAATGAATTGTCAAAATAAAATAACAACATTCCCTTTTTTCCTTTGACCTTATATCCCCCCCCCCCCTCAAAAAATACAATGCCATTCCATAGTTCAGAATAAACCATACCAGGAGGTGATCCACGTTTACAACAATGACCAATGGGTTGGACACCTCCAAGCCCCAAACAAAGAGGCAAATGTATTTACATCCCACAATCATTCAGACATAACCCAATAAGCAGATTAAGATAGTAACAGTTAGTATAGTCTATACAGAGTATTTCTGAACTTCATGAGAGACAAGGTATTCAAAGGAAAGATTTAAAAATGAATTTATTTGGGGACAGAGGATGATATGCCAAGTAAATGGATAAAAACACATTTGTTGGAGAAGCTCAGAGAAGTAAGACATTTTTTGAAAAGTGTGAAATCATTACAAAATGATGTATATTACTAAGAGTGGTTTTAAAAAAAATAATTAAAAATGTTATAAAATGTCAGATAAAGTTTAGGAGAATAACAATTTCCCTATAAAAAATAGGTAGGCATATATCTCTAAATTAAGAATGTATATATTTTATTCACAATGTGGGCTAGTGAAATATTTGCAGGATTTCTACAAGAATATTCAAAATTAGAAATTTGCAGAGATGCATTAATGAATATGATTTTACATGTAGCTCAGCGATAAATATCAGATATTAAAACAATGTGTTCAAAGCCAGGATATAAAGCCTTCATCTTTCTACCTACATTTGCATTTAATCCAGTCACTCACTGCAGAAGGCCAACTGGGGAACATTACTCAATGGCTCAATGATTTTAAAAGGCATCAATCGATACATGCAATTACCGAACACCAAAATGCTTTCTACTGATTATCTTTTATAGACATGAGTCAGGTAGATATGTGCCACATAGTGTGATTTTCAAAAATTAATTTAAATATATCAAATGAAGATGTAACTATCTAATGAATTTTCAGTCACTAAATAAGTATTTATTCAAGTTTCATAGGACTCTTCTGTTAAGTACCCATCAGCCACTCATCTTTCCTATGAATTCCCTCCGTGAAAGGCAATAGCAGTTATAAGAGCTCTAAATCTAATAGAGGGACATGGATCCAGCCTTTTATATAGACCACAATCTACATCTCTATGCCTATTTCCAACCACAAATACCAGAAATTACATAGCTATGTTAAGCTAAGAACCGTAAAGACTGTTTAAAAGAAGAGAAGAAATATTTTCACTGTTAAGATTTCAATTCTAACTTTATAAATACTGAGTATCTGCTATGTCAGACATTTTGTTAAGAACAGGGAATTTCGAGGTGAATAAGGCTTTCCTAATTCCAAATGTAATTTCTACTATCCAAAAAGTCATTGAAATAGGTTTTAGGAACAAGAGAAAAAAAATAAATCAATTTTTCAAACATGGATTTTATTTCCCCAATAACCTCCTATGTTCTTTGAAACGATACTACATTAAACTTAGAGTAAGCAGATGCTATGTTTACAAAAGCTTTAAAAATTTCCCATAAGTTGGAATAACAGTATCATTATTAAATTTTATTAATAGTACACATCGGCCAAGGTTACTGAAAGGGGGAACTTGGAAGTTGTTCCATTAGGGGAAAGAGCCTGACATGCACTGACATGGCCCAGCCACAACACTAATGGAAAAGAGATGGCATGGAACCCGTGCCTAGGGAAATTGGGTCCAAGAGGCAAATGAGCTGCATAGGGACTGGGAGTCAGGGGCAAACGCTAGCACAGGCATCCAAGTGTAAACCTGGGGGCAATAGGATAACACAGAACCTAGGGAGGCAATAACTGATGGTCTGAGTAAAATTTACCAAAAAATACTACACAAAAGATGTCAGTCATATATGAACAGGCATTTGATAATCTTTGATTTATTAATTAATGATTAGCATTTATAAAATTACTAGCTAATCAATAAACTCTATTTTGAACAGAAGTACAATGAGTGTGGATGCCTTGATGTTTCTGATACCACTAAGTAAATGCAGAGGGCCCCCTTGGGAATGCACATGGATGACCTTTAAATTCATGTCAGCTGAGTCCGAGGTGACTGGCAAGACCGTCCCCTAAAAAAGTCAGAGACTGTAATCAGTACAGATTTCTTATCTTTATCCATGTGCTTGGAATGAGGAATGAATAGGACCTTGACTAGCCCAGGTCTTGATATGCTAAATCCCAGGAGTGAGGGAATGAATAGGACCTGGGCACACCCAACACTTCTTTGACCTTAACCCCCCTCTGGAAATCAATAAATGCGCTGTGGTCTGTGGTGGTTCTTTGACTGTCTCTCCATCAGAGTGACAGCCTCCACCCGGCACCCAGCTTGATGAATCTATTTCTGCCTCTTGTCTCTTTCTTTTTTCCCCCCCTTTCTTTAATTTCTTAATCCCCAGCTCCTCCACTCAAGAACCTGTCGTTTTCCGGGCAGGTCAAAGAAAACAGAAAAACAGCCCCCCACAAGTAAATACTTTGTTGAACTGGTAGTAGAGACTTGCCTGGCTGCCCTTCTCCCCCCAAAGATTTTAAGGTCATGTTTTCAAGCTCAATGAGAAAGAGTCAGTATGTTATTGGACATGTAATAGAAATATGTTTCATGTTCCATAGTGCATTATTATCACAACGCTGAAAAATGCAATAGTTAAAAACAAAACAAAAAAATACTACTACCATCAGTTGAAATTTATTTAACTGAAAATTTTCTCAACTAACCTTAGAATCACTTTATTTCGAGAAATAGTTACAACAAAACTCACAAGGTTTGGGAGGATTGTTGGAATCTAACCAATCATCCCTGGCATTTAACACTGATGAACACTACCTAAGGTAAATTAAATACCACACTTGATGATTAAAAACTAAGAATTTACCCAAATGAACTTTCTTTTTCCCCATATCATCACTGGAGCTTGGTGAGTGTTCTTTATACTCATGTTTTCAAGCTCTGCAAGAAATTTTCTATTTTCTATTTTTCTTTGAGGTGTTAGTGAAAGTACAGTCTCCTACATTTTCCATTCACTCATCATTTATTGAAAACCTGTATTGTGAGGATTCGATGAATGACTGAGCCTAAGCACAGGAAGCACCACAGAAGCATGTTAGCTACAAATTATCATTTGCTAGACTCTGTGTAAGACACTGGTCCTTTCCAGCTCCAGAATTCCGATAGCTGGATCTCAGACTAGATGCCAGTAGGTTATTGAGTTACTCCCAGAAAGAAGTTTAGGCCAAAGTCATCTAGCCACAGACACTATTTTCTTTCCCATTTCAGAACTCAAGTTATATTTTAAAAGTTCACATTTTCTTTCTCTCTGAGTGTACACACACACACACACACACACACACACACACACCACGTTTGCCTTTACTACTGATCTTTGTAGATACTTTTAGTTCTGACATTGAGCTATTCCTACATATAGCTACAAAAGGCAGGACTTTTATTTAGCAGCTCATTAAAAAATTTTTTTTTATATTCAATACAAGAGGTCTGGTGCACAAAATTTGTGCACTTGGTAGTGGTGGGGGGAGCCTCAGCCCAGTCTCAGTCCTCTCGTAGTCTAGGAGCCCTGGGGGAATATCCAACTTAGTGCTGCTGTGAAGGCAGGGGAGGCTCCTGCCAGGGCTCACAGCTCCTGGCTGAGTGGCACTCACCCTGTGGGAGTGCAGTGACCACCAGGGGGCAGCTCCCGTGTTGAGCGTCTGCCCCTGGTGGTCAGTGCACATCATAATGACCAGTCGTTCTGCCATTCAATTGATATGCATGTTAGCCTTTTGTTACATAGGATGGTCAACCTTTATTTAAATCAAAATATTTCTTTAAGTACACCAGACCAAAAAAAACCCCCACCAAAACCACAAAAAAAAACCCAAAACCACAAAAACAAAAAACACCAAAGTAAATATTTGAACTCCTGAATACTATTCATCAGAAATAAT